TTAAATAACATCAGGTGAACCGCCAGCTCCACCTTCTTGCATTAAAAAAATCTATCAGTAAATCTGTTTAATAAATGAAATACTATAGAAAAATATTTTAATGAAATAGTTATGCTAAAAATAGATATGCTTGAAATATTTCAATTGCATTGAAAAACTACGTAAAGATAAGCTCCATGAATTGGCTTCAAAAATATTCAGCTAACTCAATTTTTGTGAAATTCCGCAATGCTCTAAAATTGCCTTCTTCATAACCTGATTATTGGTTTCTTGGTGAACAGCGATAACAATCACAATGACATAATCAAAATACGACAAAAGTAACACTAACATATTCGTTTTTAGTCAATATAAAAGTAAGCAACACAGCGATGCATTTACGCTACAGAGTAACTGTTCTATTCTTAGTTGTAATCAGCCGTAAAAATGAAAAGCCTAAAACCATTAATAGATTAAATATTTTTTAAATTGCATTAAATGTAATTAAAAACATTGTTATATTTAATTTAAAACGTCCTAAGCACATATTCCTGCACAAAAAATATTTTGTTTTGAGTCGTACGCCATGTGGCCTTTGTCATAGTCTTTTTGATGACGTGCATGTTGGAAAAAGCGTCGCGCACGCCGACATGTATACATATTATAAAACACTTTTTATATGTGAAAGTTCGTACATAATGTTTAGCAATGGCAAGTGTTTTCTTGTCGCCTATCTAGCGTAATAACAAAAGAGTATCTGTTGGGGACACATTCATTGTTACCACCGTCACGTGTTTGAAATAAACACGAGGGGCTTATCCCGCCTCGCGGCACTATTCTGTGTACGTTTTATAGCAAGGGAATGCATTTTTACATTTGCTCCCCGGAGCCAGCACGTAGTGGAAATTAAGGTATGCAGTTACAGCGCAAAATGTTCGGTACTGTATTCTTCGCTGAAAATAGCAAAAATAAGAATGAAGGTAGATAGTATTTTACCTCTGTTTGGATGTTAATGACCTTTTTTGTTTACGAAGCCATTGAATTCGCTGGCACTATGTGGAATGGCTCTGAGTGCTACTAAATTCTTTTCGACATAGAGCGGGCAATATTCGAATCTAAATCGTTTAATTTTTCTATTTTTCACTGTCCTCAAAAATAGTGAAAGCAATCTTGTATCTTGTATTAACTGATGTTTTTGCTTTCAGTCCCGAGACTATTAAAGCTTCATCGGACGCAGAACCGGTGGGCTAGCCAGAACCCACGGGTTTGGACCCTCCGCTATGGGTAGGGTCGCGCATGTGCTCATGCGTGCGTTTAACTACTATGGTGTGTCATCTAAGGGCCGTCGAGGTCGCCGGTTCGGACCGAGACCCCGACGGCCGTCGACTGTGCATTTAGCTAATCGGTGGCTGGGAGCGGTGAGAACCGCCCCGGAACGCGGGTTGTATCTTGTGTACGCGTTGTGTGGGTCTCGGCGTGCTCGGTGGCGAGGGCGAACTGGTGTGATTGTTGTTACACTAACTGTGGGTGTAGTGTTATCCGGCGGGACCCCCGGCGGTGGGTCCATCGTGTCTAAGTCCTCTTCGTCGACCGGGTCGATGAGGACGTTTCGCGGGCGACGCTTGTTAACGTTCGCGTTAGTGTCCGGTAGGTAGTTTGCTGCGCTTACCACCAGAGGGTTGGGATGATGCTGGGCTCTATCGAAGAACCGTTTTGTCAAATCTTTAAAATGAGCGCGAATCGTCGGGAGTCTGCAATCGCTGTGCAGGTCGACGTTGCGCTGATACCATTGCGCACCGGTTGCGCGGCGGATAAACTTACTTTGGACTACTTGCAATTCGTCAATGCGCGTAGGATTTATGTGTGCGAAGATCATGCATGCGTAGGACATGATTGGCCTTACGCAAGCTTTATATAACAATAATTTGTGCCTTAAGGGCATTTACTATGTTTGTTCGTTAAATTGTGTAGCCGGCCGGAGACGAACGCGGCTTTGTTTCGGACTTGATTGATGTGCGTAGTGAAAGTCATACGCGAGTCGAAAGTGACTCCTAGATATTTGACCGTTTTCTCCCAGGGGAGAGTTTGGCCGTATAGTGATATTTGCCCCAACTTTCTGTACTGGCGAGGACCTTTGTAACGGTGTGGCGGATGGGGGTTGGGGGTGCTACGGGTGAAGTGAATCGCCACACTTTTCTCTGGGTTAATATCGATTCTCCATTTGCGGAACCAATCGCCGAGGCGGTCGGCGGCGCTTTGGAGTCGAGTCGTTAATTGGCTGAGGTTGCGATCTGAGTAAAAGAGCGCCGTGTCACCGCGAAAAGAGCGAAATTGACGTGGGGGTCTCTGGGTATGTCGCTCGTGTAGAGCGTAAATAACAGGGTGAGAGGCAGGAGCCTTGTGGTACGCCGGCCGTGAGGCGGCGGCTTGTGGAGAGGGTGCCCCTCGACTCGATATCGAAAAGAGCGGTTCAACAAAAAGGCCCGGATGGTGTGTACGAGCCTATCTGGCACTTTGAGTGTGTACAGCTTGTAAAGCAAGCCGTTGTGCCAGACCTTGTCGAATGCCTTTGCGACATCGAAGAAAAGAGCCCCTGTACTGAGATGTTTCGGGTGGTTTAGGCCTTTTAGGATGTGCTCCGTTAGGCGGTATAACTGATCTGGACAGGAGTGTCTAGCTCGAAAGCCGAATTGTTCCGTCGGCAGAAGGCCGTTGGAAAATACGTGCTCTTTGAGCCTGTTTAACAAAAGCCGCTCGTAGAGCTTCCCCAGACAACTGAGGAGGCTGATGGGACGATAGCTAGAGGGCTTATTGGCTGGTTTATTCGGCTTGCGAATGCCGATAACCGTGGCTTGCTTCCAGTCGTCCGGAAAGGAGCAACTGGAGAGAAGCGTATTGAAAATTGTCGCCAGTAAACAGATAAGCGGCCCAGGGAGAGCTTTTAGAATCTTATTACTTATATTATCTGGGCCCGGGGCGGATTTCGGTTTTAAATTTTTAATTATATCTTGGACCTCTTCGGGGGTCACTGAATTTAGAGGTTCGCCTTCCGGTGGAAGCGCAGCCCTAGTCTCGATTAAGCGGTCCACCTCCGTTAGGTGGGCCGAATCGGTGTGTTCGCGCGATGGCGTACATTGCTGCTCTAGGTTGTCCGCCAGGCGGTCGGCTTGTTCGGCGCCATCTAGGGCTACTGAAGCGCTATTAGAACTAACTAACGGCGGTAGAGATTCGCGGGGGGTTGCTTTCAGACTGCGGGCCAACCGCCAGTAGGCGGTGTGCGATGGCTCGATGTCCTCTAGGAGAGTGTCCCACGTTGTATGTCGGTGTTCCGATACACGATCTTTGACTTCTAGCTGAAGGCGTCGAAGTAGAGTACGGTTCGATTCCGATCGGTATCGGTCGAAGGCGCGTTTAGCTGCATTTTTTTGTCTAAGTGAAAGCAAGCGGTTCGACACCGGTTAACCGCTCATTTATGGTTTCGGAAGTAGAAAGTATGTGAATGTTTAGCCAATTGTTTATCGTGATACACAGCAAAGCTCACTTAATTAAATCAACGCAGTATACTTTTACTTTAATTTCTTTTTCATTGCAGCCTTTAAGAATTAATGTGTCGACATATTTGAAGCGTATCGTCACTTCAAGATCGAATATGCAGAGGAAGCTTTTACAATGGTCAATGCTGATTTTAGTTTCTTGGGTTGAATGATTTCATTCAACGCAAGTTCATTTGAACACCATCTTTACCGAAGTTTATACGGACGGATGGTATGTCAATATCGTACATCTATGCTATGCGGAAACAGGGCCATGATTTCTGTAATTTTTCCAATTCACCAGAATTTTTCCATTCACCAGAAATTTGGAGACATCCACATTATAACGTAACATGACCTTGACTCTAAAGAATATTTATAACTCCTTAGCTAGCCCTTCTGGTTTTAAACGATATTTAAAAAGGAGGTTTCTCAATTCAACCGTTTATATATTTTTTTGTGTATTCGCGTATAACTTCATCGTTTATGAATCAATATTGACGATTCTTTTTTTTGGAAAGTAGATATCCCGAGGGTAGTAATCCTTAGGGTAATCTTTAAATGTTATTGGTATTAACAATGTTGTTCATATATTTTCTAAAACTATTAAGATATTTGCGTATGGTCATCATCATCTCATGACTCTGAGCTGATGAAGAAAGGTACTGCTCTTTAACGGTTAGGAGGTAAATGATTTCTTGTTCTAGAATAAAAATTACACCTATAATGTTCCTCACTAAATCTTACGAAAAATAGGGTCCAAATGAAACTTATACCTCTGTATTTCGTTGGCTGCACCTATTCAATAGGATATAGACAATGGTCTTCATGCTTTAATTAGTTATTTCGGTACTTCTTTTTATGATTGTTATATTTACAAGCTTTACCACAACACCTCTACTCACAATAACACAACACCACCTCACACGCCGCATTACACTCCTTTCACAATACATATTCACAACCGCACACAAACCCAAAAGCACACATCTAACTACAATCTGAATTTAAGTTACGAAAAATACGCATGTTGTACATTTTAACTTATTTCTTAAAAACGAGTATCATATCACTGTCGTCATTCACTTAAATGAATACTCCAATGACTGTCTGCAGTCACAATATTTTTTAAAGAAATAAATTATGTTTGTTTTATTATCATCAAATTAGGATATCTACCGCTTAGCTTAGTGGCTGATGCCTCTGGCTCTGGACGACTTATCCGGAAGGGACAAGTTCCATATACAAAAGTTTTATATACAAATGTTTAAAATCAGGTTTCAGTGCCTTCCAAAAATATAAATCATTGGACTGGACTTATAAATAAAACAATTTACTAAAAAATTTTATAAATTTTTTTTTATCAATTCTAAGATATTAGTTATTAGATCTATCGTTGACAACAATATCATTTCTAAGATGGGATGCTGTAAAAGAACAGAGATTAGTATTGTAACGTATGCCGAAGAGATTACTTTCAAAATTCTAGATCTTTACAACAGTTTTTCCTTTGTTTTCACCTGCAAGCACTCCAACAAAGGCATTAAAGATATTTTCGAACCCATTTGTCACATTTTCCTCGACTTTCAATTTTCCACTTTTGATCCATTCTACGAGCTGTGAAAATGCTTCGGGCCAACGCTCATACCAACTCCATACTAGGAAACCCCGAATTGTAAGCTCCTTGAATAACAAAGCAGGCTGAAGAATGGTTGCTTTTGGTAGCTGCTTTGGATCTTCATTGTAAGAGCTTATGCAACCACATACCGTAATCCTTCCAAATTTGTTCATTTGACTGATAATAATGCTGCTTATTTCACCGCCGATATTGTCGAAGTAACAATCGACTCCACCAGGAGCCGCTTCTCGAAGAGCTTTACTCACATCCACAGTTTTGTAATTAATAGCTTTATTGAAACCAAGCTCTTTTTCTAACCATTGCACTTTGTCATCAGATCCGGCAAAGCCAATTACTTTGCAGCCTTTGATTCTAGCAATTTGACCCACGATAGAACCTACAGCCCCAGCCGCACTAGTAACAACAACTGTTTCACCGGGTTTTGGTTTGCAAATTTCCAACAGGCCGAAATAAGCAGCGGCACCTGGCATGCCTACTGCGCCTATTCCTAATGAGGGCGATAGACCTTTCAAATCAGGTAATCTATAAACTGGATCCAAATATTCATTTACAATATCTTTTTCAATAACCGTGTAGTCGGACCAACCTTTGCGCGATACCACCCTGACTCCGACAGGAAAATTTATATCTTTGCTCTCTTGAACAATTCCAACTTGATAACCGAATTGATCGTAAGGTAGGTCTTTGAATTGATTGTGAGCGCGTTGGGATGGGTCAACACTTATCCATTCCACTTTGACAAGGAATTCTTTGTCCTGTAAGGGTGGTACCTCATATTCAACTAATTCGTAATCATCTATTTTCGGAACCCCATTAAAGTAGTTTTTCACAACGTATTTCCTTGCCTTCATGATGAGTACACGACGGGCGTTGAAAAGTCACTGTGGACAGTCGCTTATAGTTAATATTGAAATAATATCTATATAATCCAGTGAAGATTTTTTGGTAAAGGAGCAGATGGGCGGCACAGGTTTTTTTCTCTTATAAATATAATATTTAAACGATAAAAAAACGTTGCCATAATTAAGAATGTAAGAGTAAATGTTAAGAGTAAAAATCTACGATATTGCCTACTTATCATAAAAAACATATTTTAAAACTTATTAACTCCATTGTGGAAATACAATACTATCACAAAAAAAACACTACTAAACTTACATTTTTACTTTGAAGGAACTAAGTACAAGGAAAGGTTACTGGATACTTAAAGAACATATCACAAACACCTTTCTATTTTTATTGTTTACACTTTAACATCGTGCATTATTTAAAGTTTATATTAGCGCGCGAATACAAAAACAAGTCATAGCTACGTCTTATAGAAACACTTCATATAAGTAATATTATTTTTAAGCTCCTATTTCTGGATGGTTATAAAACAAATAACTACGAAGGCTAACCGAGCAGAGCTCCCGCCTTAACCTTCTAACCTAACCTGTCCGTGTCGGATTGCTCTGTCGGGTGTGTGACTCATTTAATTAAAAATAAAAATTATTTCAACTGTCGAATCTGAAAAGAAATCTGGATGTTTCCGTAGATTTTTGTTTCATAATTGTAATGGGTATGTTTTTTATCGTTGAAAAATATTTATAAGAGTAAAAATTTATTATTTCACAATTACATAAAAAATGTTAACAATCATTGGTAAATTACTATTTAATTGACCTACAGTTTGTTAAATATACGATGATACACAGGACATTGACATTAATAAACTAAGTGACATTACCAAATAAAGTACCACATTGTGTTACGTACATTTTTTGTTTAAAAATACGGAACTTCATATACGAGATCCATATTTCTATGTCAATGTCCCGCGTATCAACATAATATATTTAACAGATTGTGGTTTTAAACGTTTTACTATTTTATAATATATTAAGTTTGCTGCTACGTAACATATGGAATACTTACACAAATAAAACACTTATGCTGACTTGCGGCTTAAAATTTGTCTTATTCCTTATAATGTTATTATTTCTATCCCTTTTATTCTCCTTCCTAAGTATCTTCAAAAATATTATTGTCTTTTATGCAGTATCTTTACAAAATATGATTAAGCAATTGATTTCGATTTAAGTAGAACGAAAACACATGTTATACGTTCGTCTCTACCTAAGCACAGAACACAGATCGATGTCAACACTCAGCTGACACTGACAGTGATCATCATTCTGACTTCTGTTTACATATGCTCGCGTTTATCATATTCCTTTAATTATTGACCGTCATGCTTTCTTAGCGGATTCAGTAACATTCTTATCTTATCTTACATTCATGCAATATGATCAGTTAGCGTTACGTATTGTTTTTTTGTTTATCGGAACGGCAAACGAATGACTCGGTAAGTTGTCGGCTCAGTATGTTTGATGCGTGAAAGGATTATGACGTTATATTGTTACATTTAATTTGAATTATTAGTGCGTATAGTTATTAATTAACACAGAATTTTCATGCGTTTCATTTTTTAAGTGTATTGAGAGGTGTACCTTTTCACAGATATCGCTATTTCCATTATTTTGAAACCTTAACGTTTTATTTAAATTTTATACCAATATTTGCAATTATATAATTTAATTATAATCAAGATAAGTAGTAAACTTCAAAATTCTTTTGGAGCGTTTGGTAAAAATTATGAGGCCGAATTTATAGTCTGCGCGACAACCAACATGATGACGTGATGTTGTTTGATTTAAGATAAAATTAAGCTAGTCATGCTGAGGGCGCGAGGTCATGCGTCATCCTTGTCCAAAGTATCAGGTAGGACCAAGAATTGTTGCAGCTATGTTGGTAAAAACAATGATGAATATATGAACATGACGTCAATCTCTTTATTTTAAGCTGGGGTCTTGACTCTATGACCGCAAGGCACATAACGCGGCCACGTTAAATTATTTTCGTCGAATCTTGCTAAAATGGTATTCTGTATGACAATGTTTCATTACGCGGTTGGGTGCATCTCACGTTTGTTTAAAATAATCAAAATAAACGCGGATAAAATTTGTGTGATTTCAATATCGTGAGTCGAAAAGGTGAAAATACATAAATACCGAAATGAAATGTAACTTGAATGGAACCTTAATTAAATGCATACAATGTACTTAATTTTTACTTCTACTCTTACTTCAGCTGATGTTTTTCTTTCAGTAAAGTAGCAAAAGTAAAGTAACAGCCTATACATGTCCCACTGCTGGGCAAAGGCCTCCTCTATACAGAGGGTATCAGGGTCCACCACGCGACCCCAGTGCGGATTGGCGGACTTCACATATCTTCGAAAAATATTTTTTTTTGTTATTATTTTCGAAAATATGCCAGGTTTCCTCACGATGTTTTCCTTCACCGCGGAGCACGTGATAAGTCAGCACTTAAAGTTAAAAACTTCATTGCTCTATTGATTCAGATAATTTTGTACTACTAACAGACTCCAAGAGTGCAATCTACCACTTGGCTCGATGCGTCTCGAATTTTCGAGGTGCACCGATAGCGTATAGTATTTTTGAATCTCTACGCCAGCTAGGGCTTAAAAAAAAGGTAATTAGAATGGGTAATGAAACAGCCGACCGTTTAGCTAAGGAAGGTGTTATAAATGGAATAACGTTCAACTGTCTGCCTTTATACACAGAGCAACTATATCTAGTCCGTAATAAATGTAAAGAACTGTGGAAGGAGCACTTTGATGAGAGGTCACTAATTAAGGGTATTTGGTACAAGACAATACAGCCGAGTCTTACCAGTTCGCCATGGTTTGGTGGATCTAGCATGAGTAGGTCTGATATTGTAACTGCTATGAAACTTCGATCTGGACACATCCCACTAAACAGTTTTGCATACCTTATGGGTAAAACAAATTCCCCGAATTGTGAGGAGTGTGGTGTCACAGAAGATGTATACCACGTTATAGTGGAGTGTGTCCGGATCGAAGTTGAGAGGAGATCATTTACCTCCCAAAATAATATAGATCTATTTGAAATTGGCAAATGCAACTGTATCCTGGCGCACCCATTAACAGATTATATATTTTGTGAATGCCTATGAGGGTGGCATAATCATGTTTGATTAAACCCTCCTTTAAAAAAAATAAAGAGTAAAAAAAAAAACTTCATTGCTGCCGGCAGCGACGGGAATCGAACTCAGGTTGCTCGAGTATATTGAATTAAAGGCGAGCGCCCGGACACTGAGCTATCACGGCTCTATTCTTTCAGTGAGTGGACCATTCTAGCTTCATCGAACGGAGAACTCGTGGGTTAACCAGAACCCGCGCGTCCGATATGGCTCTTTCTTAAACTGGAGGTATGTAACCTGCGGACCATCGAGGTTTGTATGGACCAAATACTGCCGATTTGTAACGGTCGCTTATATGTATATATAGGGTTGGTGTTAGAATGGTTTTCAGTTCTTTCGATGAACCGTTTGGTTAACTCTTTAAAGTGTTTACGTAGCGTTGGTAATCTGTAGTCGGTCATCAAGTAGACGTTAGGCTGATACCTAGCGCCAGGAGCTTGGCGGGACAACTTATTTTGAACTACCTAATGTTTATACAGCTCTTTGTGGCTTACATGAGCAAAGGATATACAAGCTTAGGGCATTATGGGTCGTACGCGAGCCTTGTATCACATAGGTCTTATGGCCATTTAACTTGACGGGTTAATTAAATTATAGAGCCGACCTGAAACGAACATGACGCTGTTTCACATGTTTTCAATATGGGTAGCGAATATCATCCAGGAAACAGAAGTTACTCCTAGGAACTTGATCTTCTTTTTCTTAGATATCGGTTGGCACTATTATGTGATTTTTTGAAAGATTGGATATATAGGGATGTCGCCCGTTTAAAGCGAAAAGAGCAATGGAGAGAGGCAGCAGCCCTGTGAAACGGCTCCTAGCTAAAGTATCGGAAAGAGCAATTCAATAGGAAAGCTCGTGCACGAGCCTTTCTGGCACATTAAGTACAAACAGATTGTACAAGAAGCCGTTATGCAGAACTTGTCGAATGACTTTGCTACATCGAAATAGAGTGCAACCATACTTATGTAATTCGGGCCTTTCATGTGAAAGATCTGTTCGGGACAAGAATGATTCAGTCGAAAACCAAATAGCTCGGGAGAAAAAGGTCGTTGGCATAAACATAGTCCTTCAACCTGTTAATAATAATACACTCGCGCATCTTCCCCAAGCAATTGAGCGGACAATAGATGATCTTATTGGTCGTACCACCACCGGTAAAAGAGTAATAAGGAAATTTTTACAAGAATAATAGGGATCGTCGCATCGGTAGACGTTTTTTTCACCCGATTGCCTTTCCTTAAGGTTTCCTTACTCGAATCTAGGGTCTTGGCCTTGGTCTCAATTTTCTGAGTTTATTTTTAATGATTGTATTTACTATATATGTACATAAAAATGTATTTATTTGTAATTGCATTATAATTAAAATTAGATAACTTCGTCACTTTTAGTAATGAATTTATAAAGTTTGTTTATATATAAATGGAATTCGCTAAATGATATTGAACAATCGTGTTTACTTAAATATAAAAAATGACTTAAAGCTTCCAGTAACTGTAACAATAAAACAAAAGGAAAGTAGCTTACTTATACTATGGTAAATTATTCTAGAACATTCGAAAATATTCATATTGTTTCCCTATTTAGAATAAACATCTTAATAAACGTTACCTAAGTAAACATAACAATATAATAAGATTTAATTTAGAAATTAAAAATCGCCTTCTCCAGCTTGAATTTCACCGTCTGAAAGAGAAACAGATTAAATAATAGTTTGAATGACCTTCGTATTTTGTATGCATGAAGTAGTAAAATATCTTTTTTGTAATATTTGTATCTGGCTGGTTTTAGTACCATTAAATATGTAATAATCTTTTAAAAAAGAAAAATGAATAGAAAAAAACTATTTTCCGTCATTTTTAAATTGCTTTTCTGTTTGCCAAAAAGAGAATAAAAAAATTGGATATATTTTGAAGTTTAATTCTTTATTTACTAAAAAGGGAAAAAGGCGACACAAAAATTTGGAACGCTTACAGATATATTGCAGTGTAAGAGGTCAAGTACATAATGGATCAAGCGATTTTTTTCTGTTTCATTCCGGGAATTTTGATATCACTCTGGTCACCTTGTTATGGTTCATGTTAATGCCACGTACAGCATACTTGTGATTGAAACGTAGTTAAAGAACTGGGTATTGACCACAAAACAGTTTTGAACTATTTGAAAATGTGTGGGTATATACCACATGCCATATTATAATATCGAGCATTTTATGGTATTATATACCATGTTATACCATAAAATGCTCAATATTAGAATACCACACGATCTAATTGCAAGGAACTTAATGACATCAAAATGCTTTTTTTTGTTTATTTTTAATGGGGATCATGCTGCATGAGCATGCATGCTCAATGGGAAGAAATTTCTAAGATTTAAAACACCGAAACGAAAGCCCTTATTACTTTGCCACTTCACGCCGGTCTTTGAGGCCATGGTGCGTCCCGGGCCGAGAGCTTGCCCATTCGTGGGCTTGGGCCCACTGTTAAAATTATTCCTAACGCCACGGGAAAAGTAAAAGGAGAGATAAGCACCTCAAGGATGGAAGGAAAGTCTTACCCAATAATCTTTGCTCTATAGCCGGCCCGTTGAAGAAACGGCTTCGTAAATCGGGGCGCAGCTGTTCAAGAAGCCGCTGATGGTTTTCGCGAAGGTTCCACAGCACTACCTTGTTGCCTTGCTCTTCTAACTCTAGCATCACAGATACTAACGCCTGCGGGAAAAGGTTGAGGTTTCGTTGGATTAGTGCCTGAGGGGATTTTCTTATTTCACGCGATAAATTTGCGGTCTACATTCAATTCAAATAACTTTATGGTACATAGAAGCTTCACATTTATTATCATAACAATTGCTTTCAATTAAGTGGGCCCCGGTTACCCCACTCAATAGACGAAACGCAGAAGTTTACCGACACTCCTCTCCCCGCGGCCCCACCACCAGTGCATCGAGTCGCGGCGGACAGGAAGCGCGGCCAAACGCGATTCGTCCTCAGTAGGAGAACACAGGGAGAGTGGCTCCTCCCCTACCACCCTCGACCTGTCCCCTGCACCCTCCAGCATGCATCCAGAGTGGGCTGGCCCTTTCGGGCGGGCTTTACACCACGGGCCAGCCAGGTGTGGCTTCGCGGATAACCGAGCCACGGCTAAGGGGGAAAACACTACCTAGTGCTCGTAATACGCGTACCTCGGCGACACCAACATCCAGGTGATGTAGCGCGGCCGCGTCGAGCACCAAAGGCGAATTCCCCTCGCGGAAGGCGCGCACCCTCCTCCCCAAACGCGCCCCCGCCATGTAATGCAGCCCCGACGGTAGAGTCACCAGCACGAAACCCCTAATCCCAACCTGTGAAGTTTTTGTGTTATTACGGACCTTACTGTCGTACTATGGCGTAGACATTTTGAACAAAAAAACAAATTACCCTCGTCAAAAATCATATATGTTTTATTCGCGTGGTTCTTGCCTTTTAACCTTGCCGACATACCAAAGCTTTGCCTTCTTGAGCGTCGACCTTGTCCGTTTTGTCTTTCTTTAACAATTCTCCTAATAGCCATTCGCCTGAGCTTGAGTGATAACCGCCGCCCATGAACGTCTAAAACATGCATCGCCAACCTTGAAAGTGGGCCCCGCTTACGGGGGACGCAAATACTTCAGCTTCACGCTTTTCTTTCGCAAGGCAATGTTCCCCATAACCAATATTTGTTTGTGTAACTCGTAGGTAAGATTTTGTGCGTTTGATTTGTATTTTAGCGATCGATTAGAAGTCTTAAGGTCCCTAACTGTAGAGTTGGAGTGGCTGTAGGGCGGTTAGAACTTACCATTTATAGTTATTTTATTTTGTACGTTTATTAGCATGTATATTGAAAGAAAACACCGGACCCTCCGTCTTCTTTCCGGCCGCGAGCTCGAAAACGAACCTAATAAGACAAGGAACAAGGCTGATATTACCTTGCAAGTCTGAGCGGTAAATTCGGGCTGCAAGCCCATTCGAAAACGAACCTAATCTGACAAGGAACAAGGCTGATATTAACTTGCAAGGCTGACTGGTCAATTCGGGCCGCTAGCCCATTCGAAAACGAACCTAATCTGCCAAGGCACAAGGCGGCTATTACCTTGCACGGCTGAGCGGTAAATTCGGGTCGCAAGCCCATTCGAAAACGAACCTAATGTGCCAGGGAACAAGGCTGATATTACCTTGCAAGGCCGAGCGGTAAATTCGGGTCGCGAGACAATTCGAAAACGAACCTTATTCGACAAGGAACAAAGCTGTTATTACCTTGCAAGGCTGAGCGGTCAATTCGGCCCGCGCGGCGTTAGCCAGTGTGCGCAACACATCGGCGGCGGCGCCGGCTGCGATCCCGTACTCCAGCCCCGCGCTGGCCCCCACCACTAGCGTTATCGCCCACACAGCCAGCTCCGACTCTGTTACGCGAAAGTGCACCTTAACGTGTTACCATAAGGTCGAATTGATTGCGAATCGTTTACTAAATCACTAACTAGCAAAAGTTCACCTTAACGTGTGGTCTCATAAGGTTGAATTAATTCGTTCAACCGAAACATACTCTAATATATAAAATTCTATCTACATATATCACTTCAACTAATAACATGGCAAAGTTATTTCACGGTGGTGGGGCCACGCAGCAGCCTCGGCTGTTGCACGAATGGGCAGGCTCGTCCGGGTAAGTACCACGAACTCACAGAAGACCGGCGTAAAGTGAAAGTATAATACTTTCTCGTTTCGTCTGGTGAGTGAGGCGGCCGGAGCCCAGTTTTCAAAAGGTTGTCAACGCATCTGCAACCCTCGGGTGTAGATGTCCATGGGCGTCGGCATTCACTTAACATCAGGTGAACCGCCTTCTCGTTTGGAAATTTTTCACATAAAAAAAAACAAGTAAATGGCCTGCACTAGGTCAATAACTCCATTGGTTATCTGCCTAAAGGAAATATGTAATCAATTAAGCTTGTGCACTTTGTGCAAATTATGAGAAAAAAATGCAAAAAAAAACCCCCTTGTCGTTCGGGGCTTAATCAGATAAAGGAATTTCGACTTTTAGCTCTAAACTAATGATATTACTGATATATTGATATTAGCGATTTCAATTCGTAGAATATATAAAACTTGTCATTGGAAGTCAACTTTCCATGTATTTCACGAATGTGTACATTAACCAATGAGACGAAGAGAGGATCCGTAACAACTAACTATTAAAGCAAAAACTTTCCCCCTGTGGCGATCGAACCCGAACAATAGCTTAGCTCAGTAACTATGACTCATTCGTCATCAGAATAAGATAGAGCAGTCTTGATGTCTTTAGTTGTATGTAACACTTACTGCTGGCCCCCCATAGGATCCTCACTATGGAGAAGTCAATGATGGACATCATTGCCACCATGATGATGGCTGCCAACGCAGCACGCGGTATGAAGTAAAAAGCGTCCGCTAACAGAGTCACAGCCAGAAGAACTAAGCACGCTGAAACATGAAATTGAATATTTATAATATAATTAATTAATTATTATGACCCGAATGGCGTAGTGGGTAGTGTACTTCCTCCTGCCTTAGTGGGTGTGGGTTCGATCCCCACTACCGGAAAAATATTGTGTGATGAACAGTGTTTTTCTAGTGTCGGATTTCTATATATGTATAATATCATATGTATTTATTTACAAAAAAAAGTATGTTTAATTATATTTATGAGTTATCTTGTACCCATAGTACAAGCGTTGCTTATTTTGGGACTAGTGAACGTTGTGTAAAAATGCGTCCGAAATATTTATTTATTTACTAACGAAAAAAACAAAACCGACTTCAAATATCTCGCTCTGTATTAATTTTACAATTGATTTTCCGACGCTACACTACCCGCTACGGCGTTCGGGTCGTACGAAAAATGATTTGTTCGTCATTTGTTCCAACTGTACATTTTATGTCGTGTGTACGATAATGGAATCAAAGAGACGGTTATCCGTGAATTGAGCACCGACCTTTGAAGAAGCCGTGGTAGCTATATTGATCTATGATTGTAGCTATGGTGACAGCTCAGTGTCCGAGCGCTCGCCTTTAATTCAATATACTCGAGCAACCTGAGTTCGATCCCCGGTGCCGGCACCAATGAAGTTTTTAACTTTAAGTGGTGACTTATCACGTGCTCCGCGGTGAAGGAAAACATCGTGAGGAAACCTGCATAGTTTCGAAATAATAACAAAAAAATATATATTTCGAAAATATGTGAAGTCCGCCAGTCCACAGTGGGGCCGCGTGGTGCTGCCATTCGAAAACGAACCTAATCTGCCAAGAAATAAGGCTGCTATTATCTTGCACGGCTGAGCGGTAAATTCGGGCCGCAAGCCCATTTGAAAACGAACCTATGCCCTGATACCCTCTGTATAGAGGAGGCCTTTGCCCAGCAGCGGGACATGTATAGGCTGTTACCTTACCTTTGAAGAAGGAGCCGGCGGGAGTGGCCACGCCGCTCGCGTGGTTCAGCGCGGTCCGGGTGAAGGAGCCGGTGGCGGGCATGCTCTGCGCGAACGAAGCGAGCAGGTTGCACGCGCCCACCGCGATCATCTCCTGCGTGCCGTCCACCGCCGCGCTGCCCGCTGGACGCGATAGGGTTCCAGAACGTTCACACGACACTAGTTACCCGCCCCGGCTTCGCACGGGTGCGATGTGTTATAAACATCTTTTTTTTTTTTTTTTTTTTTAAAAAAACATTGCCGTTACTTTAGGACAACATTGTTGGACATTTTACAAACATAAATTTCACGCGGACAAACGGCCAGATGCGAAACAACTATCTGTGGGTCACACAGATAGTTGTCCCGTGTGGGAACCGAACCCACGACCCCAGGCGCCGAAGCCAATACCTTGGCAGCAGCGCCACGGAGTCATCAAACATAAACCTTCCTCTTGAATCACTCTAATTAGTAAAAAAACCGCATCAAGATCCGTTGCGTAGTTTTAAAGATAGGCATACTAGGGATAGACAGACAGCGGGACGAATTTGTTTTTTACTTTGTAGTGAAGGTGGCAAGCGAGCTGGCGGTTCGCCTGATGGTGAGTGATAACCGCCGCCAATGGACATTTGCAACACCCGTAAGGTTGCAAAGGTGTTGCCACCTTTTAGCGAAGTGGGCCCCGGCTACCTTACTCAACAGACGAAACGCAGAAGCATACCCCTTCTACTTCACGCTGTCTTTTGTCAGGTCGTGGTACAAAGTCGGACGGACCTGCCCATTGGGATTTTTTTTCTTTGGAAAGTTACCAAGCGAGCAGGCGGTTCACCTGATTTTAACTGAATACCGCCGCCCTTGGGCATCAGCTACACCCGTGGGTTGCAGATGCATCGACAACCTTTTAAGATTGAGCTCCGGCTACGTCACTCACCAGACGAAACGCGAAAATATATTTCCACTTGACTCGTGGTACTTACCCGGACGAGCCTGCCCATTCGTGCAACAGCCGAGGCTGTTTCGTGACCCTAACACAGTCATATACTAAAAAAACAGAGTAGAAAAATATTTTTAGTGGGACTCGTGGCCGGTTTTATCTTTATAGGTTACTTTAATTTAATCTTATATTTCCATACCGCGACGCGTCAACTACGATACATTCGAATTCTGCAAGTTTGTGTGGAAACATTGCTTAAACTAAATAAGATCATTAAAATCGTCCTAACTACACTATTCCATCCCTTTCCCACTTTATTACTGTGTCTTGCTCACCGCGTTTTTATCGTCTTTGCGTCATATACCACATAATGACCCAGGTTTTAGCAGTTTGGGCAAATAATACTGAGCTTTTCGCTCGAGAAGTATAACTTCTAAATGGTAAATTTGTTTTCTGCTGATATTGTTAATGTTTGAACTTTGTAACTATTACCCACCAAAGGCCTTGGCTATCGCGATGCTCTCCAATATGGCGACCAGTGGCATAACTAAGCCCTCGGCGCCAAACACTTCGAGCATTTCGTTGAAACCAATTGTAGTGTTGCCAACTACGGTGGAGAAAGGCGGTGGGCCGAACTTCGGCAGTCCTCCCTCGATCTTCCCTGGGAATTGATTCGCAGACAGGCAGATTAATTATTTGGTCCTTAAAGTCAGATTCTTGGCCTGTGAGGAGCTCCCCTACCCCTATTCCTCTTGGAACGAAGCAAATTATTAAAATGTTTTGTTTTTCCCCTAAATAGATGTTCCTGGTCTGGGTGTAACTTTATGATTAATGGTCCTACACTATGGGTAGGTAATGCTTTTTTGAGGTTACACCTCTTTTGGAGTGTTTGGAAAAAATTATGAGGGTAAAATTCTTTGCGATGCTCTCGCACACCAACCCCCAAAAACCGATACGATGAATATACGACCGCTTTCCAACTAACTTCACGGTATTACCATGGCAACCAATAACAACTTTTTGACATTTAATGTCTTTTTGCACAAACAAGAATTATACCTTCTTATGTGCGTACAAAGTACACATACACACTTTTTTTATGAAGGGGATTTTAACAAAGCAATTCCAATGTTCTTGAGAAAAGATGGTAGAAAAATTTTACAGCGACCTTATTAACGAATTATGTAATCGATATAAGAAACGTTGCTCACCTGTCAAAACGAAAGGGGAACGGTCTGGTTTATAGAGGACAAATGCGAGAATTGACGTCAGGAGCACTAACAGAGCATTTCTGGCGCGCAATACACACTGAAACGCCTTCTCCAGATTTCCGCTGGGCTTGACCCGCTAAAACATTGAAGGGTACACCATCATGACAAAATCAACCTGTGGCATAAAAGTGCAGAGTCCTCCAAAGTCATAGTCAACGGCTGGATGAGGAATGGCAGAAATGGAAATTAATTTCTCACACCTATAATGGTCAACTGTGGTAGGGCCACGCAATAATATTATATAAACATTCGGGCAGATCCGTCCGGGTAAGTGCCACGGCCTCACAGAAGACCGGCGTAAATTGGAAGTATTATACTACTACGTTTCGTCTGGTGAGTGAGGTAGCCGGTGCCCACTTTAAATGTGACACCGCATCTGCAACCCTACGGGTATTGCAAATGTCTCTGGGAGGCGGTTATCACTTAACATCAGGTGAACCGCCAGCTCGTTTGCCACGTTCTCGCATAAAAAAAGACATCAAAGTTAACTTTCATAGAAGCGATAAAAAGCAGAGGATTTTTTAAGACTACAAGAGATCTTCAATAGCACTTTTAAATCATTTATGCATTAAAGCATAGCCAATAAAAACTTTAAATTTTTATGTACTGGATTTAGAAGCAATTTTTACACTGAAGATACTGATATTTTTAAAAACCATCTGCTAAGAGAATCAGACAGTAAGTAATCAGTTCTAGCATAATGACACAAGGCCTATTGAAAAGTACACTGTACTTGACACTAATATAAAAATTATATCAAATTTCTAATTCTATGATTTGAATGTACTCGATTTTCCGTCGCATCCCATCTTGAAAGTCAATAGCTAAGTTTTTTGTATTTTTTACAATAAAGCTACTGACTAAGTTATCACGGTACGGATTATTTACATAATTTATTCGTAAACAACACAAACCTTCAATAGCAAGAGAAAAATTATCGAAGCGACACCAAGTACGCTGTCCCAGAGTTGGATCGTTTTTATGTTGGTGAAGAAATTCAATATAGCGTCAATGAAAGTGTGCCCTGATGTTCCTGAAAATCCAAAACGTAAACAGGTCGTCAATGTAAAAATATATCAATATTTAATATACCTGTAATAGTCATAAAATTAATGACAACAAGGAAATTACAAATCAAACTAATGGGACTAGATCCCTTTTTAGTTGCCAAAAAAAGAAACTGTTCTAAAATTTAAGGTGGTATAAAAGGTTATTTATGAAACTATATGAAGGATATTTTATTTTCTCATCTGCTCACGGCGCGAGTTGAGTTTTTGCAGATCTGTGGTGAAAAATCCGCATAGTACTTACGACCGAATCGTTACCGGTGATGAAACGTGGGTCATCACTACGATCCTGAGAGCGAGCAGGAGTACATGCAGTGGCATCAAAAGAAACAGACTCAGCAAAGAAGTTTAAAGTAAACCCATCCTCCGTAATTTTGTAATTAAATGAAATGAAATTTTATTTTTATACCCTTGCAGAGTGTCTTTAACCAATGAGATAGTTTAATTAAAAATTAAATAATTTAATTAAACTCATGACCACAGTGTTTTTGGGGTTATGGTCTTACTGATTGAGTACATAGAAATCAATTTATTACTTCCCACTGCCCTTACGCAAACACCCTACGGTTATTTAAAAGAGGTAATACAAGAAAAAAGACGCGGAAATTGGCCGCAAGCGTCTTGCTTCTATCCAGGGCTACTGTTCAGGAGTACGGATTTGAAGAAATCAATCTATCACCCTACAGCCCGGACCTAGCCCGTAGTGGTTACTTTCTGTTCCCCAAACTCAAGAATGATCTTCGAAGCAAGCATTTTTCCGACGATTAAGAGTTGAAGTTGACGCCTATTAGAAAATTTTTCAGACGAAGAGGAAAAATATTTTAGAGGGTATTGCATAGTTAGTTATTTTTCCGCTCTTCCGCACTTATTTAAGTGCATTGAGGTGATGGGGGACTACATTGAAAAATTAACAATATACAGAATTACATAAAAGGGAGAAGAAATAATCTTACCGGCTATCCTAAAGAGTGATCTTAGCTGTGATGCCGATATTTGTAGAGCGGCTGCCGTTGTGAATCCACTGATGACAGGTTTCGAGATGAAATCCAACAGGAAGCCTGGTAACAATGCACAAAATATCATCATACTTTGTGAATATGAGTAAGAAAGACGTCGTATGGTGTCACACATTCAGGGAAAATACTTTGGTTCAATATTATACAGTCAATATAATCGGCATGTAAAGAGAGTGCCGCGGTAGGTACGTCGTAGGTTCGATTAAGGTACGTAAAAAACTGCCGAAGTGCGAGTAGGACTCGCTCACGAAGGGTTCCGTATCATTATCTGTAAAAACAGCAAACAAATCATGTCTCTTGTCCTTGGGCGTCCCACTTAAATATTGTTTTATTCTGTTTTTTAGTATCTGTCGTTATAGCGGCAACAGAAATACATCATCTGTGAAAATTTCAACTGTCACGGTTTATGTGATACCGCCTGGTGACAGACGGACCGATAGACAGCCGGACAGCGGAGTCCTAGTAATAGAGTCCTGTTTTACCCTTTGGATACGGAATCCTAAAAATCAGTTTGACCAAAATTTTGTATCTAGATCTAGGAATGAAAAAAATATGTTCAATATAATTACATCACTTAAAAACACCACAGCTCATCGGCAAACAACTACGCTATTAAAAAAACAAAGAAGAAATAAAAATAAAGGTGCAAAGACAGGCTAATGATGTGGCTTAGTTTCAAGCCTCCGTATCTATTCTTTTCGATCAGTCAGGAAAAATGACTAAAACTCTATCAATCGGTTGACATGGTGACGGCACTCACCCAACTGCAAAATCCCGAGCAGCATTATCACGCATCCGGTGAGGAAGGCCGCCAAATATGCGAAGTCCTGTGATCGGGCGACGTATTTGGCCAGAAGCGCTGAGAGTATGGCGGTGGGCCCGACGGTCACGTCCTTACAGCTGCCGAAGAGCATGTACACAAAGCCGGGGAATATGCTGGCATAGAGACCGACCTGAAACGGAAACGATTCGAAGGAACGGATTCGAATTTAGAATTTATAAATTTGTAGATAGTGAACTTAAAATGCAAATTCTTGACGGCGGCGGCGTAAACTTTTGCGAAAGGTTTGTCTACATTTTTAAGTTTCATCTCAAGTGCAGAGACTAGCGCTAAACAATCAAAATTTTATACAATTATAGATGATATGAGAGCCGTGATAGTAGTGTCGGGACGCTCGCCTATGATTCAATTTGCTACAGCATCCTGAGTTTGATCTCCGGTGCCGCCACCAATGAAATTGTTAATTTTAGGTAGTGACTTTATCACATGCTCAGCGGTGAAGAGAAATATCGTGAGCAAAACCTGCATATTTTTAAAATAATAACAAAAATAATGGTTCGAAGGTATGTGAAGTCCACCAAACCGCAGTGGGGCCATGTTGTGAACTATACCCTTTGTACAGAGGCCTTTGCCCAGCAGTGGGACATAGATAGGCTGTACTGACTTTACTTTTATACAATTATAATTTTTAAATTTAAACTAGTTCGAAAATTCGATTTCTGGTCGAGCCAATTATGTAATAGCAAGCATATTCAAACCATATAAAAACACAACATATCTTTTGATATTATTTGAACGCAATTCCAGTATCAATTAATACTTAATACTTACACACGACGGGCAAAGAACATATGCGTATGCCTGCGTGTGTGCGTGCGGTCGTGCATGCGAACGTGCGTGCGTGCGTTCGTGCGAGTGTGCGTGCGTGCGTGCGGTCGTGCGTGTTTGTGGATGTGTGCGCGCGCTCGCCTGTGTGTGTGCTTGTTCAGTTTAAGTCTTCTTTTGATGTAACGCACCTGTGGTGGTAGGCCAGCAACCATCGCGTATGCTATACCTTGAGGTATGGATGTAAGGCCGACGGTAACTCCTTTAAGGATAAATAGAACCAGTTATAATTTATAGTCTATTAACATAGAGGTACAGGAAATTATTAGCACTCGCTTTTTAAACTTAAGTAGACAGAAAAATCAAATTTCATATAAAAAGAACATTCAACTTTAATTTGTTGATGGGAGAGCGACAAATCAAAAATATTCATTCGAAAAAAAATTTAAAGGATTTTGCCTTAGCTCCCACAAAAATAAACACGAGATGAAAATAGAAAGTGATCATTTAAATAATTGGTCGCGTGGCTTTCGCGCGATTACGATTCGCGTGCATAATGATGTCAATGAATAATGAATTTCACCTACTCAAGATTTTACTTTCGCTTAGTCGGTTAAACTTATTATAGTATTTATAGAATTAAATGTATCACAGATTTACGGGAATGCTGTTGTAAAAAGTCACATCCGTATTTATTTTAACAACGTTTTAAGAACAACATTACTAGATGGTTCTAGAGACGACATATTTCTTCGCTACATATATATAATATAATAATCATTACATATTCAGATAACATTGGATTAGATAGTATATATACTTATTTATACTTTTAATTCGGTAAACTTTGGAATTTTAGAATTTTATTTTAATTACTGATTTTCTGACTTCTTGGCAGTGTTAGAGAAAAGGTATAGGATCTATATCTAATATTTACGTAACACGTGAATTAGTTCTATTCACGCCATGACCTTCTGTTTACCTTAATTACATAAATACATAGTTAATGATTACATACTTATTATTTCAACTATGATTATTCAAAAATATAAACGAGTGCTGGTTATAATTAAATCTGTAAAAATATAGATTAAAATTACATAATACGTAAAATTTATATTATCTTATGTTAATTGAATGATTTTATAACTTTTCTCCTAGGCGCATGACCCGAGGAGACAGTTAAAATCACACACATTTCTAGACGGTCTTGTCAGGAAGTGGATACCCCAGACCTGTAAAAGCTCTGTGTGATTTCTCAGAGCTCACGGGCTTAAATTCAATCTAATCACCAAAAGCGTTATTTGTATTTTTATTACGGACCATAAGATATGGGTGAGGGCTTTAAAACAAGACGGCATTAATTAACGATCTGGAAATACTACTAAAAAAATATATATATCCTCTTCACCCGCCTGTCAGCCGTACGGTTGTAAATACTTAAAGTAATTTGTCCATAAATATTGGGCTTCTGCGCTTACCGGCGACGATGTCCCGAAAGAGGTGGTCCAGGCTGTAATTTGGCAACCAGATGCTGATTGGAAACCGTCTCCTCCATGACTCTAGGCTGCATAGCCTCGCGCCTGCTCTCCTTATCCGGTTCTCCCTTGGGCGACCTCGCATAAAGGAAAAAGCTATTACGGACACCTTTTAAAGTATCACTTCAACAGTTGAACATAAGCCAAAGACCGCCAACCCTGCGAACATAAGCCAACCCTGAAGACTGCCAACCCTGCGCCAGCCGCATCCATCGGCTTCCGCAACTAGGTGCAGGTCAGCACTCCATTTTTATGGGGTCCTTTGACTGTGCGTTGTTGCTCCAAAAAACGAGGGTAACCGACAGATCTCTAAGGAATTGCAATTTAAAGTGGCAGTGTGCCGGGGACGTGAAGAAGAAATGTCATAGCGTGCCACTTTACATATACCGAAAGAAAATAAATAATCGTATAAAGCACAGTCTACACTATTATAAAATACAGTCTGGCCAAGCATACAATATAATGTTCGAAACGTCTGTTGAGTTCGAATAAATATAAGAACATTAATTTATTTTATACAATATGAAAACATTATTTGCGTACACACTAAATTGTTGACACTAAACACAATAAATAAAATAGTAATAGCTTACGTAAACAAAGTCACTTTAGGTAAAGGATTTCGAATTAAAACGTATTTATTTGGGCTTCGATTCGTTAAATTGCACGATTTCTAATAAAAACACTGCATCAATCGGGCTATTTCGTAATCTAACTACTTTTGCAAACATGTGAGCTTCAATACATATTTAATAAGGAGAGAATAAGTGCCAATGAGAGAGATAGTCAAGATGTAAAATAAATTATTTAAGCAACTAATTAAAACTACTAATAATTCTTACCGGTGGTTAATATCATTCCAAGCAATAACTATAACACTTGTCGATAGCGTTATAACATGTGCCAGTATTAAAAAACAAAAAAAAATCTTTTAAATATAAACACCAAACTGTAAATGCGTATATCTCATGGAAAAACTTAATAACGACTGATTCCGTCCGAGACACTCCTCCATAAAACTTAAAGACAGTAAACTTCAGGGCTGGCACACGGAATAGGTAAGACATTTTTAAGGTTTGTCAATTACGAGGAAGACAATACATTAACGGTCCATTAGTTCTCATGTTTAAAATTCTGCTAAAATGCTAATTTCGAGGAAACGAAAAATTGCAATTTTTGCATTTACAGAAACCACTTTCGGGATTATTTGGCTTTTATTTTCCAAAATCCACTCTAAATAATTATAACAGACGACCGCCGTATAAGAATCAGTCAACGGTTTTCAAAAATTGTATCGATGGCAGCCGCTGTAGCCTGTAGCGCGGGTTTGTTTTTTTTCACCCAAATAATAACCAAAAAATATAAATGTCTACTAAATGTACCTTACCGTAAATAGCGATCATTATTATAGATGTTTACAAATTAAACTGGAGTACAGCACACATCCATGGTATAATTTAGGATTTGCGATACGTAAGGTACTGAAGTAATGCAAGCGAAGCGATATTCGAATCGTAAGTCATATAGATACATTACTTGTCATAATAAACAGACTATGCTATTGGATCGATAACTAATGCTTATTAGAGCAACTTTTGTACACACTCAAAAAAGCAGAACAAATGCAGAGATAGAAGACATTTTCAATCGAGTCTTATCACAATATATTTTCGCAGCTCTAAAAAAAACATAAAAGTAAAAGTAAAAAGCTTCTTTTTTGCGTCTTCTAGAATACCGTGTGAATGTAAAAGCCTAATATATGATAGTTGTAATGAAGCCTACAAGAGATGAATAATTACCTAACATGAATACATTACCATGAAACAAGAATATGTTATAATGTTCTTTGAATCAAAATGAGAAATCATCTTTGTTAAGCCTTAGTTGTGAAGCGATCCTCATAAAGATAATAATTAAATCTGTCGCCGTAGACTTAATTATCATATACTTCTTTATGAAGCAAAAGCCTGTTGTGGCGGGGTACCATATAGAAGAAAAACAAAAGATAATATAAAGCCAATCATAAAGAACGTACAAGATTGACTGCCAATCAAAGGAATGTTCTTTAGTCTGTAAAGTACATGAAGTACTACTCAGAAAGTAAGTTTCATATTTTTAAAAATAAGTTGTGTCTAATCGCTCTGGGATCTTACTAGTGAGTGCTGTTACTAAAAAAACTTTTTGATGACTCCGTGGCGCAGTTGCCAAAGTATTGATTACGGCGCAGCGTGTCGTGGGTTCGATTCTAAAGACACGATGCCATTTTCTTGTACATACAAGAGCAATAATTGAATGCAATAAATTGCGCGCAATAATTTAGACCGTTTGTTGTTTAGACCATGCAACTCATTTATTGCTTCAATTTAATTGTATACAACAGGCAAGAAACTGGCAGCATGTAAATGGGCCTTTACACAGGACAACTATTTGCGTAACTCACAGAAAATTATTCCGGAACTGGGTGGTAAAACGTCCTTAGAAGACAAGATACCTTCATCCATCCAGTAAGTGCAATGTTTTAAATAGGAAATAAATTTAAAATAAAATCTGTGGTACACCGAATATCATAATAGTTTTCTTGCTATATTCAGGTCTGAAGGGGGTACGTACAAAGATTGGACTTTGTAAAACACGTTGTATTGTATTAATAGGCTTTTTCGCACCCAAAATGTATAGATGCACGAACTCAAATTCAAAATAGGTATAGGTAAATACGGGAAAGTGGTAACAGAGCGCGCATACACTTTGCTGAGAGGTACTTTGTGGTAACCGAACTGAAACAAAATTTTAAAAAGTATTATTAGCTGACACCCCCTTCGATGTTGCCATAAAAAATGATTATATAAAATAAAAACAAATAGGGGCAAAATTAAATATAATATACATTTAAATTAAGTAGGTATAGAAAAATAAAAAAAATACCGACTTCAAACCGGAAACTGAAAAACATTGTTAATACCTATAACGTTTGAGGATTGCCCTCGATTTCTCTGGCATGCCATCATCAGATCCGGGTTTCCTTATCATGGTATCACCCTTGGGATATCCCGTTTCTAACAAAACAGAATCATCAAAATCGGTTTATAAACTACGAAGTTATCCGCGACAAATAAAAAAATAAAAATATACAGCGTGTCGTTACCATCGCGACAATAAATGAACACACATATAGGGGGATAACTTTTTAAAGTTGTATTAAACGTTTAAATTCTTTAAACATCAATATTTAGAGTTATTAAATTTTCCAAATGAAAGAATTTTAGAACACCCTTACCTATAAAAGCGTAACGTAAAGTTCATTTGTAAAGGTCACAAAGCATATGAAAGGTTTGAATGAATTTAAAAGAGACAAAACATACTGTTAGAAGGAGAGGCTTGTAATGCGACGCTGTGGCGCGAGTTGTATAGGATGTTACAAATTTTGTTTCTTTTTTATTTAATTAGTTTGTTTGAAAAAAATTTTTTTTTAATTATGGATTTTGTTTAACGTTAATATTTTTTTTATGATTATTGGCAAGTAGCGTTAGACGTGTGTTCATTTATTGTCGCGATGGTAACGACACGCTGTATATTGGTCGAATTGAGAAACCTTCTTTTTTGAAGTCGGTTAAAAATAGTAACTTGTCGTCTAAAAATATTTAAATAGATTTTAAAACCATAACATCTGCTCGATGTCACCATCTAATTCGTAATGATTCTGAAATTATTTCGACATTTATTGAAGCAGGTAGAGATTGATCTACAGCTGTATGTACAGCTAGAGATTCATGAAATTGGCTCACAATAGCTCAACCTTACACATATTATCACAGGTTAACTATGTGAAAGCTCACTAATAAGAAAACTCATAATTTTTAAAAGTCGCATCTCAGAAACTTGTACTGAACTAGAGAAAAGTTCCATAGTGGTAATTTCCAGCTGTTATTCAAAGAAATTTTCTCAACCAATTTCCATGAGATATGACTTTTACCAACTCCAGTCCACCTCATAGATACAGTGCTTCTACGGGCGACTAAAAAGTTTAACTGAATTAAAATCACACTGAAAAAATTGTTGCCCCACAAATTTCTGTCTATTATCCAACAAGGTCACTACGAAAAGTCTGTTAAATGCTGAAACAAAAAATCTAATTATACAGGCCTATATGTAAATTTTAATATTTTTTTATGTGAAGTAGCAAACAATGAATTGTTTCACCTGGTGTTAAGTGAAGGAACAAATGGATTTCCAACCTTAAATCGGCCCAGGCTATCTCACTAATCAGGCAAAATATAAAAGTATAATATAGAAGTAGCACCAGTCTGGTCTTCTATAAATATTATATATTTTTAATGATTTTGAAATTCACATTTTTAGATTTGAATACAATTTAGACATAAAAATGTTTAAACTTAAATACAAAAAGTAAACTGAAATTCAACCCAGCATTAGATAAAACAATGGATATGGCATAGTCCCTATTAATTCCTCTGATTCATTTGACTAAAATATGATAATATAAAATTCATCTCTTACAAAAGTTTGAAGAATTGGTGAAATTTTCTAATTCTTCACTCACCACTTTTATTTGTGACACAGCCTTTCACACAACTTTATACTCACATAGAAAATAAACTATTTCATTTTAGTAAATATATAATAATCAAACTTATTTGAGTATATTGTGGTTAATTCATGATGGTTCTAAGTGTAAATAATACATTTGTTTTAAGTATTAATATAATAAATAAATTCTCACTCATTCATCGTTTCACTATAATGCTAGTATAATTTTATTTCATTGAATATTCAACATATCAGAGACCTTCATAAATTTGCATACATAAAAACAGTTTCATCACAAGTATACTATTATATCAGTAATTCAGTTGTAGTTATTTTGTTATATTCATATGTATTAAATTTCAATGTACCTTTCATCAATCATACACCAGAACTTTGTTTACACCAAACAAGAATTTTGCAGCTATTAAAGCAATTGTCACATTACAATCAAAATAGAAAATTCTTAAATAATTACGGGTAAAGTATAGCACATTTTTTTATTGATTTAACCATACAGTTGCAAATGTAATCGAACAACACTAGAACAGTCTTAAGATGTTATTATATTAATATAAATTTATAATGTAGTTTTAAAAAGAAGTATTTCTTCGTAGGGCTAAAGTATAGACAAATTGTAAAGGATGTAAATAAACAATGCAGCCTTTTACTTTTATATATATAGTATTTCTATTTTATTAGTAATAATAAAATGTAGTATTTAAACATTTGCATACCTAGAAGCGGTGTTGTCGGGTCATCGCTATCCATGTCTTTTATCAGCTTGTACAAACAAATCCATATCATACTAAACACAAAGTCAACTACATATATCACGTATTAGAATACATCACAAAATTGTCAACTGTATTCTGAACTCATTTGAACTTAGCAAATTTTAAAGAATGCTGTAAAAGCATTCGATTAACAAAGTTCATCGTTATTGAATGTTAACCATTATTAAAATTACATGAGTTTGTTATGAAACCAATGGCAATACTATGTCAATGAAAATTAAATTATCATTTTGAGATTTATGTTCCTCATTATCATAATGGGTGAACCTAAAAGTTGAACATTCGTCTTCACATACATAAAATTCTGCAAACGAAAAGTATGTAAAATAATAAAGTTTTGAAAACATCTCCGACATTGCTCGATCATCGCTCATGACAATTGTCATTTGGCTTGGCTTGGCATTAACACTTCACAAACAAAACAATCACACAAGGCATTAAGCAGCTGACGCTATTGTGTTGGTGTTGCCAATTGGCAAGGCAAGCAGCAGTAAAAAAGTAATAACTAATAATCTATATACAGCGTGTCGTTACCATCGTGACAATAAATGAACACACGTCTAACGCTACTTGCCAATAATCATAAAAAAAATATTAATGTTAAAAAAAATCCATAATGAAAAGAAAATATTTTTCAAACATACTAATTAAGTAAAAAGAAACAAAATTTGTAACACCTATACAACTTCAACTGACTGATTCATACATTCAGAGAATTTTTCATTCGTTGCCACAGCGTCGCATCACAAGGCTCTCCTTCTAACAGTATGTTTTGTCTCTTGTAAATTCATTCAACCGATTCATATGCTGTGTGACCTTTACAAATGAACTTTACGTTACAGTTTTATACGTAAGGGTGTTCTAAAATTCTTTGTTTTAATAACTCTGTAAATATTGATGCTTAAAGAATGTAAATTTTTGATACAATTTCAAAAATTTATCCTCTATATGTGTGTTCATTTATTGTCGCGTTGGTAAAGACACGCTGTATATAAAAATGAATCCCTAATTCCCTTGGTCACGCCATCACGCGTGAACGGCTGAACCGATTTCGCTAATTCTTCTTTTATATTATTCTTTGAAGTAGGAATATGGTTCTTACGGATGGAAAAATTTTTAAAAATGCCTGAAAAAGTCTAAAAACAACATTCTAAAAACTATATTCCCGTACAAAAGATTCGTAATAACACTTAAAAGTCAATTTGAATTTTAATACCATACCATAAAGTTTAAGTGTTAGTGGAGGGGTTCCGGGAAGGCAAAACAAGTGAGTGACTGTGGTAAAATGTCACTTGAAATGTAAACGTCTCTTTGCTGTGCATCACTACATAGTTTAAAACAAAGTGGTCCCGCTGTCTGTCTGTCCCTATGTACGCTTAGATCCTTAAAAACTACGCAACGGATCTGGATGCGGTTTTTTTAACTAAATAGAGTGATTCAAGAGGAAGGTTTATATGTATAATACATTGCATCTGTGCGAAACCGGGGCGGTTCGCTAGTAGTAAAAAATGAATAGTAAAAGAGTAATAAATAATAATAATAATAAAAAAGTTATAATCACTATTAGTGTGGTTATATCAAACTTCAGGACGACGGAATAAAAACGTTAGATTTTATTAAATTAGCTGCAAACAGGAAAAATGCAGTATAGGCTGCTAATTTATAATAAACTATCTTTTCGCCTGCGGCTCCGCTCACGTTGAAGCCCTTAAATAAACATCTTTCAACCCTTAACAACACTTTTTCCAATTAATAAATAACTAAAAATTTTGGAGTGAAAGCGAGACAGACAGACAAGAGTTACTTTCGCATTTATAATATTAGTATGGTTTAAAAAAATACTAATTTTTAATAAAAATGCCAACTGTGGCACTCAGGGACTGCCGCGGTTAATGCAAAGCATTTTTATCAACTTATAATTATTTATTTATTTTTTATTTATGCCGTATTTTTTTTCTTTGATATTAACTTATTCAAGTTACACTTTTTGAGCGTGGTGACCGATAAGAAAACATTTTTTTTCTTTTATTGAATAAATGAGAAGTTAATATCGTTTAAAAAATTTTTATTATCTTACAATACATGTAGGTTATTCAGGAATTTTTATCATTGAAACTATAGGTTTATGGTAACTTAAATAAGAAATATAAGTTTGAGACTTGATATCCTCTAAATATCATATCATCATGTATGAAATTAGCGTTTTGTCATACCGACCTGAAATATCACCTCTTTGGTTAAGAATTCCAAATTAATTCAGAATCAAAAAGTCATTCGTTTGTTTTTTCCTCATTATTTTTATCTTTGGCGTCTCTTATTACCGCACAATGGAAAACATGAAATATCGGTATATTTACGAGTACGAGTTCTACCGTGGCACCAGTGCTGCAGAAACAGCTCGAAGGATTAATGATGTGTACGGCGCTGGTGTCGCATCAGAAATCACGGTACGTTTTGGTTTCAACGTTTTCGTTCTGGAAATGTCGACCTTCGGAACCGACCCCGCGGACGGCCGTAAACCAAAGTCGATTGTGAAAGCGGATCCATCACAAAGAACTTCAGAGATAGCAGCAGGCTTTGGGGTAAGTGATAAAACTGTAATTAATCCACTTGAAGGGAATCGGAAAAGTAAAAAAAAAAGTTGAACTATGGGTACCTCATGAATTGAGTGAATCGAACTTGCAAACAAGCGTCGACTGCTGTGTTACTTTGCTCAAACGACACAATAATGAAGGGATTTTAAATCTAATCATTACTTGTGATGAAAAGTGGATACTGTACGATAATCGGAAGCGCTCGTCGCAATGGAACCCTGGAGACCCAGACAAATCCTGCCCTAAACGAAAATTGACTCAGAAAAAGTTACTTGTGAGTGTCTGGTGGACTAGCGCCGGTGTCGTTCACTACAGCTTTAATTTTAGCCGATTAAATTTATATGTGTGTTGACAATAGGCAACATTGAGTCAATGGGAGATGATTTTAATTTACATACATTTGATATTAACTGCAATTTCTGAAAAATAACTTTCGAAACTACTTGCAATTTCAGTATCAGAAGTTATGGGAGTATTAGCAATGACCAGTTTTTTAAGTTCCCTGACTATCTTGGGTCTTCCAGATATACGGGTAATGATATCCCATGTGGCTATTATTTAAATTTAGAATTCTATCTCTTATTTATATAAGAGATAGAATTCTGAGCCGTGATAGCTCAGTATCCGGGCGCTCGCCTTTAATTCAATATACTCGAGCAACTTGAGTTCGATGCCCGGTGCCGGCACCAATGAAGTTTTTAACTGCAAGTGCTGACTTATCACGTGCTCCGCGGTGAAGGAAAACATTGTGAGGAAACCTGCATATTTTCGAAATAATAACAAAAAAATATATATTTCGAATATAATTATGTGAAGTCCGCCAATCCGCAGTGGGGCCACGTGGTGGACTATGCCCTGATACCATCTGTATACAGGAGGCCTTTGCCCAACAATGGCACATGTATAGGCTGTTACTTTACTTTTTACTGAATACAGACTTTTTATAAATAATTTTGAAAACGCTTATGGAAATTTGTGTCTTGATTCCACTGCCTCATATTATATAATTCATACAGCGAATTCCTCAGAATTGATCAGTTTTTCTATAGAACCACAAAATGGGTCTAAGTGTAATATCATCTTTCGTTACCGGGTAATTTATTGGATACGAGTATCTTTTAGGGAGAGCCGTGCACTTCTTTTATTATAAATTGTTTTAATTTTTACATTCATATTCCTTATGGGCCTTTTTTGCCAGTTCGAATTGTTAAATATATAATTATATAAACAAAGAAGGCCAACGAACAAGTGGGTCACCTAATAGTAAGCCTATTAATAATGTACTCTTTGTAGTAAGCGATCACCGCTGCCCATGGACGCTTGCGTCACATTTATGTTGCCACCCTTTTAGGTAGGAGTAGGCTCTCTTATTGAAGGTCCTTATAGCCGTATCGTCATATAAAAAATATTGAAGATATATATCGATAATTGTATAGAAAAATATCGATATTTTTTGCCCATGCCTATTGTAGCCTCACAAATTATGAATATTGAATATTGAAATTGATTTGATAGGTCGTCATTTGATTGGCAGCATCCACCTCAAGAAATAAAAGTTTGATGTGTAAATAAATAGTCTAAAAATTTTTTGTCACTGCCAAGATTCGAATCCAAGGCGTCTAATATTTAATTTTAAGTTCGGAGATTAACAGTATAAAAATATAAAATTTTAGCAAAGGCGTCATGTCTCGTTCGAAATTATTTGTGTGCTGTAAAGTACGTATCGGTACTTTCTTCGAGACTTGTGCTCTTAAAAAAGAAATATATGCAATAAATATAAACGTTTATGTAAAATGGACAAATTGTGCTTGAATCATTAAAGGTAATAAAATCATTTGAATAGGTAATTAAAAGATTAAGAACTCGAAATTAGGATTTATTAAAAGAATATAAGTTAAGAATGATTATCAATATATATATATATTTTTTTTTTTTAATATTTAGACTTTAACAACCGCCTTTCCTGTGTTTTCGCCTGCAAGCATTCCACTGAAGGCATCAAAAACATTTTCGAATCCATCCGTCACATGTTCCCTAGATTTCAGTTCTCCACTTTTGATCCATTCCACAAGTTGGGAAAAAGCTTCAGGCCAGCGACTAAACCACTCCCAGATTAAGAATCCTTGTATCTTAAGTTGATTGAACACCATGGCTGGTTGTAATATCGTTGCTTTTGGTAGTTTTGCTGCATCTTCATTGTAAGAGCTTATACTTCCACATACTGCAACTCTTCCGAATTTATTCATTTGATTAATAACAATACTGCTTATTTCCCCACCGACGTTGTCAAAGTAACAATCGACCCCATTCGGAGCCGCTTCTCTCAAAGCTTTGCTTACATCCACAGTTTTGTAATTAATAGCTTTATTAAAACCAAGTTCTTTTTCTAACCATTGTACTTTATCATCAGATCCGGCAAAGCCAATAACTTTACAGCCTTTGATTCGCGCTATTTGACCCACGATAGATCCAACAGCCCCCGCAGCGCCAGTCACAACAACTGTCTCACCGGTTTTTGGTTTACAAATTTCTAAAAAGCCAAAATACGCAGTCACACCTGGCATGCCCACTGCACCCACGCCTAATGAGGGTGACAGACCTTTCATATCAGGCAGTTTGTAAATTTCTCTTAAACCGCCAATTGCTGCAACGTCTTTAACAATGGTATAATCAGACCAACCTTTATGTGTTACCACCTTTGTTCCAATGGGGAAATTACTATCCCTACTTTCTTGCACTGTCCCCACTTGAAATCCGAACTGATCATAAGGCACTTTGTATGAGGAATTATAAGCGCGTTGATATGGGTCGACACTTATCCATTCCACTTTGACAAGTATTTCGTTATCTTGAAGTGCCGGCAGTTCGTACTCCACCAATTCGTAGTCGTCCCGTTTTGGAGCGCCTTTAAAATAGTTTTTCACAACGTATTTCCTTGCCTTCACCATGTTTACACGTTGGTCACGTAAGGGTTATTGTGGATCTGTAACACAGTTAAAGTGTTTATCGTTTCATATCTTTCATAATTGTTATCAAAACAGTCATGACCGTTGCGTATACTTTTATCACTGTCATATTCTATTTATCAAGGTTATTTAGACAGCATTCAATTTTAGTGTCATAAGTTGTCAATCAAAATTTTCTTTACTAAAAATAAGTAAATAAACAGTTAAAACAAACAAGCTTAATTGGTAAACCGGTATTATAATATATTGGTAATGAAAGCACCCCAAGCTATTTTACAACTACATGAATTTTCTCGTTATTCACTTTATTTTTACATTGATTTTATACTTTTAAATTGCGTTAACCATTAAAACTTTTTTTTTTTTCGGTTTACTTTTAACGACTTTTTATTTTTCATTTTTAGTTCTGTTTCTCAGGCTTCTTAACGCGAAAGAAATCGTTAATCCTGATGTTACAGGATAATAGAACAAACTCATTAAAATATTGTATTGTTAATGTCATTGGTCTGTAATGTTCGGGTGGTCGGAAGGGGTTTTTAAATGACAACCAGCAGCGTGACGATATATCGGAGTATATTTATGTATTACAGCGGACTACACGACTACTCGGACTTGATGTGACCGACTGACTTAACAGACTATCGTAACGGACTGTCGTACCAGACCAACTAACTATTACATCGGGGTGGAGGACCTTATAAATTAGAACAATGTAAACAATCCTATAAGAAAAGTAAACAAAAACATTAAATGTAACCGGTATATATATATATATATATATATATATATATATATATATTGTCTGCTGACCTGAATTGACCTGCAAACAATGCAGATACGAGCGGCAATATCACTTGTTGTCGAATATACGTGTACGTAGTATATTCAGTGATATAATATTATTTTGATATGTTGTAAGTGTAATCGACGAAAAGAGGAATTGTTGTACTTTTTATTCATTGTACATTTACGTTTTAAAACTAAATTCATTCAGCTATATTCTATTACTCCTAGTTAACCTATGATTTATTAGCCACACATTTTATTTGGGTTTATGTAAAAAATGAACGTTAATATTGGCTTGGTACCACTGGTTTATTGTGCAATAGATATATTTTGTTGAATTGTCTGAAGTGGTTGTGAACAAATACAAACAAGTGTAATTAAAACACAAATTACATAGTATATGGGTATCACATATAATTATACACATAATACCATGAAGGCGGCTAAAAACAGACTTAGTTACTCAGTTATAGTGCAAATTGAATTATCTACAGAAATATTTACCTACTTATTTGTTAAAAATATTTACGTATCAATATCGTCACTTAAGGAGTTTAGTTTGTAATTGCGCTTACCTTATTTTTTAACTCTTCTAAAATGTGTTAAGAATATAATTAATAATTTTCCGAATAATAATGCCAATTGCAATACATGTATAAATTAGGATGACCAAATTTAGTTTATTTTAGTAATCAAATACAAAACCTTTATCACACGACTACACTTTAACAATGAGAATCATAAACTGACAGTCATGATTTTACATGTATTTTTCTTAGCTGTTTGACCTTGGCATTCACTTAGTAATCTGCGATGAAGCCACACAGTATACAGGGTGACTTTTTCAAAGCAAAAAAATTATTGAAGTATTTTGATAAGAATGAGGTCTGGCCTTCAGTTTGCTGATTTATTAATGGTTTATATTATTTCAAAGAATTTTCTTTGAAATAATATAAACCAGCGACGGTATTGAATGGAGTAATATTGTGCGTGTTTTTTTTTTCAAAATCATTGCGTTCGATAGTTAATTTCTCAAAAAACTAACGATGTAGTTCTAGTTTCTTCCAAATCGAGCCTAGGTATTTTCTACTATTAACTACAGTTAGTTTCAGACTTGGCCGTCCACTTCCCCATGAAAAATTCATCCTGTATATCTCTATAAGTGTTGAGTCGAATACTAATTTAAAACTGACGCTCTTATAGACTTATAAATTTAAGATCAAATTTGCTTGTTTGTGCTGAATACCATTTTAGACCACGTCTAATTTGCTAAGAAAACATTGAAATTATTTATGAAAAATGAGCATAATGTTGATTTTTGCTTGTTATAATAGCGACAGCGGAAGATCTATTGCAAGTCATCTTATAAAAACTGGAAAATAAAAATAATATTCGGCAGAATTCGGCGGTAGCCTATAGTTTTCGAGAAAAAAAATAATTTACCTAGTGAATCTTTTAATTGTTTTTTGTAGACAAATAAACAACAATGTAATATAAGAACATATTGTGATGTAATATCACTAAGTTTTTTAATATGTATACTGTTGGTATGTGTAATAAATAAATAAACAAGAACTTTCGGCGCCTCGGGATTCGAACCAGCGTCTAGTTTCGCGCGCAGACGCGTACCGACTAAGCTAAGTGGCCGATGATCTCAAGGGGCAAAAATAGTCGCTGCGTTCACAGCAGCTCTGATTAGATGTTCTATTCTTGAGTCACTGGTATATGCACGAAGATCGAGTATTGAGTATCTAGGTACAGCGGCTTGAAGAATATACTAAATAAATACTATTAAAGCGAGCTCGCGCAAGGTATTCGACTAATCAACACTCCGAGCGACTTAGAGTGCAGGGAGAAGTACGGCAACTAACAACAACTACTTAGAATTCGTGAACGAATTTGGCTTTTAGGCACGAACCATAAGTTCGTGGATGCTCAACAAACTTCCATCCAACTCGGAATAAACGCAAAAACTACAGGATGGATTTAAAAAATTTGTAGACTAATTGAAACCTAAATTATCAGCGAATAACTTAAGCTATATTTTACCCCCTATTCTAAGTGAAATAAATTATATTTATATCATGCAATATCATAGAATTATCAAATATTGACAACTTTTTTTTACGTGGGAAAAATTCTTTATGGATCCCCCGCCGCCTTGTGGGTAGGCAGCAGGGGTATGTGGGGGTTACACGTACCCACTAAAAACCCACGTTGCACCTGCGCTATCGCTTTGCCTAGGATGCGGGAACACGAAAACGTAATCTTCCGCGAACCCCGGCGCGACTGTGGCCTTCTCAGGCCTCCTCCCCCCGGGTGTTAGGGACACCCGGTCCAGCCAAATCTTGACAATCTATTTTATTTTTTTTTGACGCGTGGGAAATGCCTACGCATACCCGCCCTCGCGGGGGCAAGAGCGGGTTATGTCGGACTCGCACCGACTAAAACCCCCTCGATGTTACACCTAGGCGCATATCGGCAGGGTCACGGGAACGCTTTCGCACACTTCCGCGACCCTGCCAGCGCTGGCCGTCTCAGCAGCCCCCTCCCGGGGAGCAACTCCCCTCTCCTCCAGATACATATCTGTTCTGTATCTACATATCTGTTTGTAAAGAAAAATATGGCATAGTTATAAATACGACGTATAATGGTATCATATTATTTTTGTTATATCAATAAAATACAATGATATCATTGTATGAATAGATAATCTTTCGTGATAAAAGTCAACTTCGACGTCGCCGTCGCGGGTAGTAGAATTTGATATGCGCATGACCGACAAAATGTAGACAGATATAGATATTTTCTAAATCTCAACGAAAATTTTAATAACTGTTTGCTCAGTTGTAATCAAAAGTATTCGTAAACAACGTATATCTAAATACCGAAATGAATTGTAACTTGAAAGAATGCGTATTATATATTTAATTTTTACTATTAATAGGGTGACGGCCCGAGGCGAGGCTCCCCCGGAAGCCCTCGAGCTTGACCGTTTCGGGATGGGAAAAAATAAGAAAATCTAGTACACAATAATATAGTCATTTTATTTAATGTTAACTCAGCCACCACGTATGGCTGACAATTATTGACATTACATTCAGATGCTTTAATGCATCACAAAATTAAAATCAACAATAATAACGCTGTGATTAAATTTTGACAAAAATATTGACTTTAATTTTAATATTAGCCTTTTATCAAGTTCACGAGGTTAAATATTGGTATATGTAGGTACGTGTTTCTCTTTTCACTGCACTTATTGATGTGGGTTTGTGATAAAATTTCAAGCGTCAGAGGATATCATGAATGGTCTTATCGTCTTGCTGGGCACGGCACATCCGAAAAACAGCATCAAACTCTCTAGACCCCGAATAGCATGTACACATCTTTCATTAACTTTCTCTTATCAGCATAGCATACAAGTCGTTGGGTAAAGGTCTCTCGTCCAATGCTACAACTCCCTAGTTCGTAATCAAGGACAGGGCATACTAGCACCATGAACGTGACTTCATCATCATCATCATATCAGTCGTAGGACGTCCACTGCTGAACATAGGCCTCCCCCATTGACTTCCACTTCGAGCGGTCGGTAGCGGCCTGCATCCAACGACTCCCTGCGACTTTTACTAAGTGTGGGAGGCCTTCTTACGCTGCCCTTGCCGTCACGTGGTCTCCACTCAAGAACCTTTCTGCCCCAATAAACTTAAAATTTTGAACGTGATTTTTAAGGTATAGGCCTTCAATTATTATAGAATTGGTTTTCGAGTTCAAATCAAGAGTGACAGACAACTCAGACAGATTTCGGCGAAGTAGAGTTAAAAATTGGTCCGCTTTACATAATATGACATATATGTGAATGTGACAGATGATATAGAACGTATAATACGGAACGAGACAGCAGTCTATAGAATTGCAATCTGATTGGTTAAAAAAATTGGTTAAAAAGGTATATATCACCATTTAGGCTTATTATCTTACTTTTTATTATCCTTATACTAACATATGCTACACTAATACCCTATTAGTTAGTTAGTACTTACTAATATGGTAATTAACGAATAATTAATTGTTATAAAAGCATAACAACTATTCAAATAATAAAATTTTAGTCACGCTGAAAAAGTTTTAATTACTCATTTATCCGTAACAGTGCAACACAAAAAACATGTAATTCTTTATTATCAATTTATTTAAAACACTTAACCAAAGATAAAATTAAATAAATTAATGCACAAACATTGAAAACTGAACCGCTAAGTTTGCGCAACGTTTGCTTTATAAACATTTGTAATGGAAGTAGTAACCAAAATCTTATTAAAACAATAATTGTTATGAAGAAATAAAATAGTAAAAGACATCCATATAAATAGGGCGTAGATTGTAAAATTTTTTGGTTTCCTATTCTTCGGTTACTGAAGTATTAATATTTGATTTCACAGTATTGAATACTGTGAAATCAAATATCAGTTATAGTGCTTCCAGTGTGTAATAGCGGAGTTCCTATTAATTTGTTTGTACAATATTTATAGTGGTGCGAAGCTAAAGATAAGTCTGGCCCTGTTTATGCGAATTTAATGTTATCTTCAATTCCGTTTAGTTTAATGACATTCATTAACACTTATCAAAAACAGTAACTTTCAATTTTATGAGAGATTACCAGGTACCAGTACATAATATATGTATAAAACATAGTCTTGTTGTACTGCGTTAGTAAATAAAACAATTTCAATAACAATATGATTTATAAGGGGGAAAGTAACAGGGATTGGTACAATAACGTATGGTGATGAGTTACCATTATGTATCTAGACTTTTACCATTGCTTTTCCTTTGTTTTCACCTTCAAGCATTCCAATAAAGGCATCAAATACATTTTCAAAACCATTCGTCACATGTTCATTGACTTTCAATTCTCCATTTTGATCCATTCTACTAGCTGTGTAAACGCTTCGGTCCAACGCTCGTTACACACCTACACTACGAAACCTCGAACACTAAGCTCATTGATTAATAAAGCTGGCTGTAGAATTGTTGCTTTTGGTAGCTGTTCTAAACCTTCATTGTAAGAGCTTATGCTACCACATACCGACACCCTTCCAAATTTGTTCATTTGACTCACAATAATGCTGCTTATTTCACCACCGAATTTTCGAAGTAGCAATCGACTTCACCAGGAGCCGCTTCTTTAAGAGCTTTACTCACATCCACAGTTTTGTAATTAATAGCTTTATTGAAACCAAGCTCCTTTTCTAACCATTGCACTTTGTCATCAGATCCGGTGAAGCCAACTTTGAAGCCATTTATCCGGGCTATTTGACCCACGATCGATCCCACAGGTCCTGCAACACCAGTCACAACATCTGTTTCAACTGGTTTTGGTTTACAAATATCCAAAAAACCGAAATAAGCAGTTGCACATGGCATGCCCACTACACCCAATCCTAATGAGGGCGATAGACCTTTTAAATCAGGTAGTTTATAAACCGGATGAAAAGATCCTATTTTATGATTTTTACTAACAACATTGTAATCGGAACAACTTTTAACACCACTGTAGTCGCACCAGCCTTTGTGAGTTACCACCCTGACTCCGACGGGAAAATTCACATCTCTACTTTGTTGAACGATTCCAACCTGATATCCGAATTGATCATAAGGTATCTCTTTGAAATGCTTATAAGAGCGTTGGTAAGGATCAAAACTTATTCATTCCACTTTCACAAGGAATTCTTTGTCCTGTAATGGTGGTACAACATATTCCACTAATTCGTAGTCATCTCGTTTCGGAACGCCTTTAAAAGTGTTCTTCAGAAGATGACTGTGGACAATAACATATAATTAATGTTGAAATGATGAAAATTTAATTTAATAACCATATTAGGAATTTGTGTTTATATGTCATTTAAAAAAATTGTTTAAAATTAAATAGCCTATATATGACCCATAGCTGGGCAAAGGCCTTATCCGTGCAAATGGATTAGCGCGTTGTCCACGCGAACCCACTGCGGATTGGCAGACTTTACATAATATTTTCAAAATATTTCTTTTTTTTTTGTTATTAGTTCCCATTTTCCTAGCACGTGATAAGCCAGTATTTCATTGGTACAAGCACCGAGAATTGAACACAAGTCGCTCCAGTGTATTGAATTAAAATTGAACGTCCGGACACTAAGCGGCTCTAACTGTTTTTAATTAATTCCAATATTTTAATGTACGCGCATAGATAAATTACACTTTATTTAAACGTGTGGTGCAGTTACATGTTCCGTTCGCTACTACTTAATACAAGCTATACTCACACAAATAAAGTATGTTTTGCGGACTGACGGCTTAAAACTATTTTATTCTTATATTATTATATTATTATTGTTGCCTATTGTTTTCTCTTTCTATCAAAACAAATTCACGTACCGACGTCTACCTATTCGCAAAACTGACACTGACAGCCATGACAGCCGTTTTTATGGTAATATTTATGATCCGTTAACCAATCATATTCCTTTATTTATGGAACGTCATGCTTTCCACTGGCGGTTTAGACAACACCTGTGGGACATGACCGGTTAGCTTTACGTATTATATTTTTTTTTTGATTATCGGAATTGTAAAAAAATAGTAGTTTCAGTAGTGTGATAAATTTATGGTGAAAAATAGTACTAAATATTAAAAAATAAAGCATTAGAAGTATGTATAATTATCAGTTAATACTCTAATTTCCTCGTTTTTAATTTTTCAGTGTGATTTTTTGACTTTAATTAAATTTTATATGACACTGTTGTACATAATAGTTGTGTTTCGAAATTTAGACATGTTATCTTGCTGCGTTCATTCCTTGCATATTATATTTATGAGCTCAGTCATTCGTCTTCCACCTACCGGTATCCCTGTAGCATGGGTGGTCCGAATACCTTAAGTAGCGATCACAGATGAATGTATGATGCTGGTATGCTGATATAGCCTTTTCTGGTAAACTGTTAGGATTGCCCAAACACATCGTGAAAACGAGGATCCTGCTCGAGGCGGTCGTGAATGAGATTATGGGCATGATTGAGGCCAATATCTTGTCCTCATTCCGTCGTTGTCTTCCGGTATCGGGCAACATAGGGAGTAGATATCTATTCAATCTAATAAATTGTAGAGTCAATTTCTTTGTATATACTACATTACATCTAATTATACAGCGTGTCGTTACCATCGCGACAATAAATTAACACACGTCTAACGCTACTTGCCAATAATCATAAAAAAATATTAACGTTAAACAAAATCCATAATTAAAACAAAAATATTTTTCAAACAAACTAATAAAGTAAAAAAGAAACAAAATTTGGAACATTCTATACAACTCGCGCCACATCGTCGTATTACAAGCCTCTCCTTCTAACAGTATGTTTTGTCTCTTTTTTTTAACATTTTAAATTCATTCAACCCATTCATATGCTTTGTGACCTTTAAAAATGAACTTTACGTTACAGTTTTATACGTAAGGTGTTCTAAAATTCTTAGTTTTGGAAAATTTAATAACTCTGTAAATATTGATGTTTAAAGAATGTAAATGTTTAATACAATTTTAAAAAGTTATCCCCTATATGTGTGTTCATTTATTGTCGCGATTGTAAAGACACGCTGTATAACTACGTCTAATTAGGTTCGAAAACATGGATCTTGATGAAAAATGAACAGTATACTGTCAGTATCTATTCATGTGTTGATTCTTCGTTTTTTATAATACCAAGAACATGCTTGTAACAATGGAAGGTTTATATAACGAGTCTTGTACTGAGTACCATGTTTAGAAGAATATGATTTAGTAATAAAAGTACTGGACAATAAAAATAATATTAAGTAAAATTTTTACTTGTCCCTTCTTTTGACAGAATTTAAAACGTGACATTGTCGAAATCTCTCTGTGCTGTCCGTCATTCTTAATTTCATAACGCTATCCTTAAATTGTTTAGTATCAAATGCCTATACCTTAAAAGAAATGGCAAGTGGAGATTCTACTCATCCCCAGTACATGACTTATTCAAAGTCAGAGGTACCGTTAATCGGCGCGCTCATTGACTACATTGATACCAGCGTAGAGTACTTGTGGACGAAAGCATTTGCTCATGCTGAGAAATTTTATGTTCGGACAACCAAAGCCACATTATCAGTCAAGTTCATGGCGCTCGTATGCCTGTCCTTGGGTTTGGTCACGAATGTTAAACTGGAAGTTGTAACATTGGACGAGAGAGCTTTACCTAATGACTTGCATGTTGTGCTTATGAGCGAAAAATATAAACTCTATGTGGATGACATAGATGTATCGAGTGAGTTACGTTTTCCTTGGCTATATTATGCCTTAAAGAATAGTTACCACATAATGTTTATCATTACTTTCATCCCCTTCGGCAATTTTAATCAGTCTATACTTTTTAGGACAGTTTTTTTAAATATTCCGTAACACTTTCTCTGATGGGTGAAACTTAATAAGTGTTGTAGAAAAAGAAAAAAATATATTACATATTCGCTGATCTGAAATTGATTAAAAGGCTATTCTAAAATTTAAGGATATGATATATAATAAAAATTTAATGCAACGTTTTCGTTCACAGAAATTTTGTGCTGTATTGAAGCATCAGACGTATTGTTAATATTTGTCAGCTGTTTGCTTATATGGATTTCCTCATATATGGTAAATATTATAAATATTAAACTGTATAAATGGTAAGTTAAGTAAAAATAATATTATAAACATTTAAGTATATAACTACTTCTTTCGCGGATCATATCTACCACTTTAAAAAAGGTTTCTCCGGCTATCATAACAGTTACATGTACATATACCATAAGTTACGATCCATTGCGTATTTTCAGCAGTCTTCCTGGCATTTGTTGTCCCACCTCGAAACGTTAAAACCTTTAAGTTTAATCTGCTTTACGACGAAATATTATTTCAACACTATCGCCTTATACATATAACTTGGATTATCAAAGTATTAACTAATGCTGACGCAGCACCATGAAGTTGTAGGAAGTTGCCTATTTTCACCAGTGAAGATTCAATATTTTGTTGAATTCCCGTTCAGTCGAAGTAAAACATTAACTATCATAATACATTATATATATCCAATTGCCTATAAATAATATAATAGTATAACATACTAAATATTGATTTCGCTGGACAACTAAAAGTTTACACTTTTTCCCAAAATTCAACTACACAGTCTAAAAACTTCCATCAAACTGAATGAAACACAGTATTCTGGAACATGAACTAAAATGGATTTTTTGTGATTAAATCTGTTCATTAAGAAAAAAAGGTTACATTATAGTACTGAGTATTAATTATTGCAAATGTTGATTATTAAGTTCATAGTACTATACATGTAAACACATTATTAAGAAGTATTTAGACACTGCTCCAACAATCATTTGCAGTATGAATTAAACAAACTTCACATATACAGAATGAATTTCTATCAAAACTATTTAAAATCATGAATTACGGTTTTTCAGACGACGGGTGACTACGAGTTTAAATCAACATACTTATTTATTAGAAGAAGTTTAAATTAAACATAACGAAGTTGACTGAAAATCACTATTCTTCGAAATAAGACACCTTTCATTCATAAATATTTATTCGTAATTACATAACTATTCCAGACTGATAACGGATACTGTGCGAAGATATCGCACGGGTTAACTAGTATTTCTTATTGTTCTATTAATTATTCTATTAATAAGATGGAAAAAGAAAAGACAATGCACTTCGTTTACTTATAATTTGCTGTACTTTTTTGAGAATATTTACACTTTAACTATCGCTTTCCCCGTGTTTTCGCCTGCAAGCATTCCATTAAAGGCATCAAAAATATTGTCGAACCCATCCGTCACATGTTCTCTAGCTTTAAGTTCCCCGCTTTTGATCCATTGTATAAGCTGAGAAAAGGCTTCAGGCCAACGACTAAACCACTCCCAGATTAAGAATCCTTGTATTTTAAGTTGATTGGACACCATAGATGGCTGTAATATTGTTGCTTTTGGTAGCCTTGCCGCATCTTCGTTGAGAGAGCTTGTACTTCCACATACTGCAACTCTTCCGAATTTATTCATTTGATTAATAATTATGCTGCTTATTTCACCACCGACGTTGTCAAAGTAACAATCGACACCATTCGGAGCCGCTTCTTTCAAAGCTATAGTCACATTGACAGTTTTGTAATTAAAAGCTTTATCAAAACCAAGTTCTTTTTCTAACCATTGTACTTTGTAATCAGATCCGGCAAAGCCAATAACTTTACAGCCTTTGATTCGTGCTATTTGACCCACGATAGATCCAACAGCCCCAGCAGCACCTGTCACAACAACTGTTTCACCGCGTTCAGGTTTACAAATTTCTAAAAAGCCGAAATAAGCAGTGGCGCCTGGCATGCCCACCGCACCAACTCCTAGTGAAGGTGACAGACCTTTCATATCAGGCAGTTTGTAAACTTCTCGTAAAGCGCCCATTGCTGCAACGTCTTTAACAATGGTATAGTCAGACCAACCTTTATGTGATACCACCTGCGTTCCAATGGGGAAATTACTATCCCTACTTTCTTGTACCGTCCCCACTTGAAATCCGAACTGATCGTAAGGAACATCTTTTAAGGAATTGTAAACGCGCTGATATGGGTCGACACTTATCCATTCAACCTTGATAAGTATTTCTTTATCTTGAAGTGCTGGCAGTTCATACTCCACCAATTGGTAGTCGTTCCGTTTTGGAGCGCCTTTAAAATAATTCTTCACAACGTATTTTCTTGCCTTCACCATGCTTACACACTGGTCACCTAATGGTTACTGTGAAGTCTTTGAGTCTACAACAAAGTATATAGTTTTTATTTCTTTATCGCTTTATGTCTTTCATAGTTATGACTGTCGCGAATTATTTTATCGTTATCAGACTCTATTTGTCTTGATTATTTACACAACGTTAAATTGAAATACGCTCTTTAGTATTCAGTCAAAATTAAATAAAAAAGATTTAAAAAAAAAATTTATGCAGATAAATTTGTAATGATAACACGACATAGCATATAATCTACTGATATGTAGTGACCAACAAACAATGCAGGTATATTTGCATCAAACATGTACAAGTGGCAATAATATTTGTTTCTATTACGAGTGTGAAGAGTTGAAATAATTAGCACTATCTCTTTTTTTTTCTGGAAAACAGGAGGAAATATGAAAGCGAGTCACCTGATCACCACTGCCCATAGACATTTGCATAATCGAAGGAGTCATAATTGCGTTACCGGCCTTTAAGGTAGGAGTAGGCTCTCTTCTTGAAGGTCCCTAAGTTGTATTGGTCCGGAAATGGTCCGGAAGGGTTTCCTCTTCGCGGCAAATGCAGAAATCTGTGTCGTCATGGGGTTACATTGGACTAGATTTATTTGGTCCCTATCCATGATTTAGCGTAACAAAACCAATTTTTATCATTTAAGCTAGTAAGATATCATTAAGGTGATATTAGGCGTTTTAAGCTTGTTCTTAGGCTGAAGTTAATTTAGCAATATTATATTATTGTTAGGTAACCAATAATTCCCAATAATAGTATTACTTCGTCGTTTGATACTTCAGGTGCTCGTGAACGAACACGATACCCAGACAAATAAAAAAAAACAAATGACCTCCTATCGGTATCACGTGCACTAACAACACACGCAGTGCACTAATAATCTGAAGTTGAATATTCTGCAGAAATATTTACTTAGGTATTTGATAAAAAGTATTTACGTATTAATTACGATCTGCTTTGAGTTCTGTTACCTTAATTTTTAACTCTTACATTTCTTACGAAAATGCACCTAATATACAAAGACCAAACTTAAAATTGTTTATTAAGATTTAAAATCGAATAAAAACCACAGGTCCACATGTGCACTATTTAACAACTAGAATCTTAAAATGACAGTAACGATTTTACACATTTTTCATACTTTTTTTCAACTTTTTTTTATTGCCAACCTTAAGAAAAACAAGTAACAGAGGTCGGAATTAATGCCAAAAGACATTTTCTACCAGTCAACCCATGATGTGGTGAGAGTTTATGGTAAGAATTTCATAGTTGACATTGGCTTAGTAAATCGTGATGCGGCCACACCTGTATATAGGTTACCCCAGCAAAAGTAATAGCCTGTATATATCTCACTGCTGGGCAAAGGCCTTCTTTGTACAGAGGATATATTAGGGTCTATTACGTCATAGTCTCTACCCCGCCGTGGAGTCGATTGGTGACGGATTTGACGACTAGTTCGCCATTTTTTAGTTCATACTCGACAATTTTAAAATCTTCACGTTTAGGCAGGCACACCAACAAAATGTGGTAAGGAAACATGAAAAGGTTTCCTTACCACGTTTTTTCCCTTCACCATATTGCTTTGCTATATACCTGATACAGTTTGAAGTTCAAACTGTGAGATGCAATATGTTAATTACTAATGATATCACATGTTGAATCAGCTTTAATTATTTTAATTCCTTACATTCTACCAGTTCCGTTTATAGGAAACACCTAATAAACCAAAGCAGCTACATACAGCATTATGTCACCGTGTAAGCTTCATTGAATTCACTCTATTTAACATATGCTAGTGTTACAATACTAATTAATTATTCCATAGTCATTATTAAATCATACTGTATAACTGTTCAACTTGTAAACTTTTAGTTATTACACGTAACGAGATAAAATGATGTGATTTATCCGTAGCAATGTAACACAAAACACATTATATGCAATTTATATTATTAGCAATTTATTTTAAATTCGCAACCAAATAAATATTGACAGAGTCCAGCTCTGTTAATTTTTTTATGTGAGGAGGTGGCAACGGAGTTCGTGGTTCATCTGATGTTAAGTGATAACCGCCTCCTATTGACACCTGCAACATCCATAGGGTTACAAATGAGTTGCCACCTTTTAATAAAGTGGGCCCTGCCTACCTCACTCACCAGACAAACCATGAAGTCCATTGAAGTCACAGAAGACCTGCTAAAATAGGCCCTGCCAATTCATGCAACAATGCAACATCGCAGACTGTTGCGTGGCCCTTCTCTAGTTGACGTAGTTCGACTTAATTTCAATGAAATCATAATCAATACATTCAATTCCTTTTAGTTTTATGAACTTAATCACTAAATAAAAACCGTAACTTTTAAATACTTTATGATCAATTTCTATAGAACATGATTTCGTTGGACTAGGTTAATAAATAAAACAAATTTTATCAACATTAATATTTCAGTTTTATCCTCTATAACAATAGGATTTCTAAGAGGAAAAATAACAGATATTGGTGAAAAGAAGTAGGTACCCAAGAGTTACCCTTAAATTACTAGACTTTTACAACAGCTTTTCCTTTGTTTTCACCTGCAAGCATTCCAACAAAGGCATCAAAAATATTTTCGAACCCATTTGTCACATGTTCATTGACTTTCAATTCTCTACTTTTGATCCATTCTACAAGCTGTGCAAACGCTTCGGGCCAACGCTCATACCATTCGGACACTATGAAACCTTGAATCCTAAGCTGATTGAATACCATAGCTGGTTGTAGAATAGTCGCTTTTGGTAGCTGTTTTGCATCTTCATTGTAAGAGCTTATGCTGCCACATACCGAAACCCTTCCAAATTTGTTCATTTGATTTATAATAATGCTACTTATTTCACCACCGACGTTGTCAAAGTAACAATCGACTCCGTTCGGGGCCGCTTCTCTCAAAGCTTTACTTACATCGACAGTCTTGTAATTAATAGCTTTATGAAAACCAAGTTCCTTTTCTAACCATTGTACTTTGTCATCAGATCCGGCAAAGCCTATAACTTTACAGCCTTTTATTCGGGCTATTTGACCCACGATAGAACCTACAGCCCCAGCGGCACCAGTCACAACAACTGTTTCACCGGGTTTTGGTTTGCAAATTTCCAAAAAGCCGAAATACGCAGTGGCACCGGGCATGCCCACTGCACCCACCCCTAATGAGGGTGATAGACCTTGCAAATCAGGTAATTTGTAAACTTGATCCAAAGATCCGGTTACATTATCTTTTTTAACAACACTGTAGGTGGACCAACCTTTGTGGGTTACGACCCTGACTCCGACTGGAAAATTAATATCTTTGCTTTGTTCCACGGTTCCAACTTGATATCCGAATTGATCATAAGGTATCTCTTTGAATTGATTGTAAGCGCGTTGGTATGGATCAACACTTATCCATTCCACTTTGACAAGGAATTCTTTGTCCTGTAACGGTGGTACATCATATTCAACTAATTCGTAGTCATCTCGTTTCGGAACGCCTTTAAAATAGTTCTTCACAACATATTTCCTTGCCTTCGTCATGTTTCACCTTAACGGACGTTGGAAGAACACTGTGGACAATAAGATATAATTAATGTTGAAATGATGAAAATTTAATCTAATAATAATTATGATTTAACTCAACGGGCGTAGAAAAGTCACTGTGAACAGTCGCATCTAGTTAATGTTTAAATGATATTAATTTAATCTAATAAGGATATTATTCATTTTTGCTGACAAGTAATTATAAAAAAGAAAAATTGTGAATTATAAAAAAGAAAAACGCGACCCCACTTTGGATTGACAGACTACACATATCTTCGAAATATTTTTTTTTATTATTCACCACGTAGCACGTGATAAACCGAAACTTAAAATTATAATTATCAATTTCATTGATGGCGGCATCGAGATCTGAACTCGGGTCACTTGAATAATATTAATAACTAGCTGCTGCCTGCGACTACGTCTGCGTAGAAAAGGCTGAAGGCCTAACATTCAGACATTAAGACAGATATATACATAAAATATGTATATAAATTATAGCCTATGTCTTATTCCGATGTGTAAGCTATATTATTGTAACGTTTCATTAGAATCCATTCAGTAGTATTTGCATGAAAGAGTAACAAACATCCATCCATACATACAAACTTTTGCCTTTATAATATTAGTAATGATATAAGTAAAGATTAAAATTGAGCTGTACTTAGGTTATTTATTAAAGTGAGTATTTAATTTTACTTTCAAGATTTCATTATTTTTCATTTTATATCACACGCTCAAATCTAAATTTATTAAATTTAAACGTATGATGCAATTATATATTCAGTCCGATAGTACTTTACACAAGGAATACTTACACAAATGAAACACTTTTTGCAGACTGATGGTTTAAAACTATATTATTCTTATATTCTTAATAATGTCTATTCTTTACTCTTGGTTTTTTCAACAAAAGTATTCTGTAGTATTTATTAATTTAACAATTGATAACGTTTAAATTCGAACAAAACGAACACACGTATGTCCTTACGCACAGAACAATACTGACACTGACAGTCTTCGTGATACACGTTTTTTATGCTACCTAATGTTTAATGATACGTTATCCAATCATATACCTCGTTTATTGAAACGTCATGCTTTCGAAGCCGGTTCAGCAAACACCGGCCGGTGCAACATGACCTCATGTATTATCTTTATTATACCTTTTGGAACGGTAAACAAAACAATTTACTTGGTGAGTTTTTGGGCAATGGGTGAGTTATATGATAAATTTGCATTGAAAAATAGTACTATAAAATAGTAAGCATTATAAGTACACATAATTCTTAATTAATGTTATAATTTCCTCGCATCAATTTTAACTGTGTTTATAATTACTTTCTATGGACTTTTTGTGAGTCAAGAATTCACTTTTACCATAAACTTAAATTTTAGGACCTTTTGCTTTAATAGCTTTAACTGAATTAAATACGATACAGTAGGTAGTGCATAATAGTTGTGTTTAAAGTATGAGCCTATACAAGTGCCACTGTTGGCAAAGGCCTCCTCTGTACAGAGGGTATCAGGGCATAGACCACCACGCGGCCCCACTGCGGATTGGCGGACTTCACATATCTTCGAAATATTTTAAATGACGTTTTCCTTCACCGCTGAGCACGTGATAATTCAGCACTTAAAATTGTCAATTTCATTGGTGCTTCCACCGGGTATCGAACTCAGGTTGCTCGAGTGTATTAAATTAAAAGCGAGCGTTCGGACACTGAGCTATCACGGCTCGATGTTTAAAAATTAATCCTAATCATGATAAGTAGTTTACGATAAAATTAATAGTGTTGAGAGACATTTTCTTGCCATATACAGCGTGTCGTTACAACCGCGACAATAAATGAACACACGTCTAACGCTACTTGCCAATAATCATAAAAAATATTCACGTTAAAAAAATCCTCCATTGCGGATTCAGTTTTCTCTAAGACGTCCATGATTTATTCGATGAATTTCCTCCATAGAGACTAGGGATGCCCAATTCTCGTGATAAAATTTATGTACAGTCGGAGTCTTATTTAAAATAAAAAAACAAAAAACTTGGCATATTCTATGGAGAAGTACAATATTGTTTCTTTCTGGGGATAGTAAAGCAAAATCACTACATTCTTCATCCCAAACATAGTTCATTTTATCATTACGTGTTATTTATTTTATACAGCGATCTCCAATCAGTGAATACATGTTCCTCCCATGGCTGGGAGCGTCTCTCCGCGGCCTGGCGATGCGTCAGGCACCTACATGTGGGGCACTAATATACACCATGTTCATTGCCAACGGCAACATGAATAAATTATTTCTTACCTCATTTGCCATATTGATTAGTAAGTATCAATCTATAATTTTTAGTGTTCGCTCGTTATTTTATTTATTATTGCATTATCTGCATTACTCACTGGGCGGTGCAATTATTAAGCTTTAGGCTTCTTTCGGGTTCGATTCCAATATGGGATAAGTATTTGTGTGACCCACAGATAGTTGTTGTTCGAGATCTGAGTGTTTATTCCCAATGAGGGCTGACGTCGGCCGTACGTAAAATATCTCGCCAGTACCGTTAACATGATGATCATTTTTTGACAGCTCAACTGCGGCAATACTGGTACCATCTGTTAAGCAAATTCAATGTCCAAAATTAAAAAATAACACTAATACTATTTGAGTATTTTTTTTTTGTTTGTAACATAATATAATTGGTCAATTTAAAATCATTTTGTCTAAAATCAGTTTAAAGAAGTGTTACGGACTTAACATTATTTTAAATCTTTAAAATTGTTTTTTTTTTTTTTAGTTGTAGAAATGCGTTTGTGGTTGGAGATCGTGAGGCTAGTCTGTGCGCGCTGGGAGTGCCGTGAACGGGTTAAGGTACCCCCCGGGATGAAGAGCGAAGTGCAAACACTTTGGAGCAACGACGACGTGCCCAGCTTCGAAGTATCGAATTACGTTTACTAGCAAGCGGGTCGTGTCTTTTTTTAATGGCAACCGTTAATTTAAATCCATCTGGCGTTCCTGATAAATACGGATTCTTTTCATCAAATCAATTTATATACAGCGTGTCGTTACCATCGCGACAATAAATGAACACACATATAGGGGATAACTTTTTAAAGTTGTATTAAACATTTAAATTCTTGAAACATCAATATTTACAGAGTTATTAAATTTTCCAAAACAAAGAATTTTAAAACACTCTAAAAAACCTATAAAAGCGTAACGTAAAGTTCATTTGTAAAGGTTACAAAGCACATGAATGGGTTGAATGAATTTAAAAGAGACAAAACATACTGTTAGAAGAAGAGGCTTGTAATACGACGTTGTGGCGCGAGTTGTACAGGATGTAACAAATTTTGTTTCTTTTTTACTTAATTAGTTTGTTTGAAAAATATGTTTTTTAAATTATGGATTTTGTTTAACGTTAATATTTTTTTATGATTATTGGCAAGTAGCGTTAGACGTGTGTTCATTTATTGTCGCGATGGTAACGACACGCTGTATATATATATTTTTTTTAAATAAATTCTACTAAACTTTAATTTAATCTGTTAGTATAATTATGTCCAGACCACTATAAAATTCCAAGTGATATTCGAAAAAACTTTAAATTCAAACTGCAACGAGTTCGTAATGAGATTAATTAAAAAAAATATCGGGTGCACTGATATCATATCCGAAAAAATGGAAACTTGTTTTAACTTTGAAAGTTTTGGGGACATGCAAATAAGATGATAAGCCTGACTACTAAACTCATCTTGCTTGCGCAATCAACAAATATGTCTGTGCAATACATATTAAGCATCCATTTAACTTTTTTCAAAATGATGTATACTTTTAAGTGATGTACTTTTAAATCTTAAATCTTTTATAAAAAGCCAGTTACGTTTAACCTTTATATTTACAAAATACAAAAACACTAGGAACATTTTCATTAAAATTAACTGGTAAATTAAAATTGCTACAGAACAGATATATGTATACTTATTCTAAATATTAAAAAAATTTGTTATAAAACAGTTGTAGTAGGTATGCTGTCTATCTTTATAACCTGCGTTTGGCTTATATCACCCGATTGATTCCAACCAAAATATTTCGGTCTGAAATTATTTACATATATCTAAGCATGCCTGGCATGTGACGATTACCCTTTCGCATTGGAGCCAGACAGAACACTAAAAACAAAATTGTGGAACGTCGAAATATAACTTTGTAATGATAAAGTCTACGCCATTTATAGTTCCTTATATCTCACATCGCGGCCTACGTCTATTTTGGAAAGCGTCACCACACCGAACATTTCTGTTTGGGGTTCATCGGCGAGCCCGGCGGGCACCCAAACTCCTTTGCGAAGTCTTTGGAGTTTGACAGGGTTCCGATGACGCGGAATCTGCCGGGCGAGTGCACCGCCGTCTTCAGCTTGTTCCTCATCGCCTCCGGCCTCATTGCGCCACACCACACCTGTTCGGATTAAATTGATAGTGGCAATAATTGTATCAGTTCACAAATTAAGACCGTCCCCGAATAAAAAAGATCCGTGCAGCAAATTAACACCTTTCCATATATTTCTTTTCAGTGTAATATAAACAAGATATATCGCTATCAATGTATAAATAATATTTCGTGATTAACCTATGCTGTGTCATCGCGGGTTGCAGAATTGAATATGTGCACGGCCGATATATTGATAATAACTCGTACCGAATCAAAGTATTGATAAATGTTTGCCCAGTTGCAATCGTAAATATTCGTAAACAACATTTACCTAGATAATGAAATAAAATATAACATGAATCAAATATTAAAAGTGCGTATCATACATTTCAAATATTTTAATCTGGCTGGACGGGGCTAATGAAGATAGTGCTATCAACTTATTAAATTCCGTTCGCGCCTATCGACGTATAATACAATAATACTAAAGTTGTATTGGAATTTAAGTCTTAAAATGTTCACTTACTGTAAAACCATACACCTTACATGCCTCACTCGATTTGGTCATAAACAAAACTATCCTGCTGACCTTGGCGCTTATTTAAGTACCTAAATGTAAAAAAGGTTAAGAAGATATCGAAAGTGAATAAAAAAGCCAAACTTATCGGAAGCAGTCATTACGAAATATGTACTCCATGTTGTTAGCTATTAATTAGAAAGAAATATAACATGGTTTGAAGAAACTCTCGAAGATTCGTGTATGAATGCAAAAAAAAAATTAAGAGCAAATAATTAACTCTCTAACCTACCCTAGTATATTTGTAGTATATTTGAGTTTCAAAAGTCGATTTTGAGATTGTACCTGTGCAAAGTTGAGAAAGAATAGTTGAGTATGTGTATGATTTAATCCAGGCAAGGTTTCGTCCTTCGCATCGTGATGCTCAAGCCATTTTAGGTACGCGTGAAAGGCTTGTTTTACACCACCGTTATCTGCTATATTTTCTCCCTGAGAAAATTTAAAAAAGTTTTAAATAACCGCTGTTACCTTGTGCATGATATTTTGAACTAAAAAATTTGACTAGATATATGTAAATTTAGATCAACTATGACATCTATCGTAGACTCTTGACTTTAAAATTTTGCTTAAATGTAGCATTAACAGATGGCGCTAAAATAAAACGATAGGGTGGAAAATGACTTACATGAATCAATTTTGCGGAAACTAGGAATCACACAAATTGGGATAATTATTAATTACAATAATTATTTATTAGTCTTAATTATTTTACAACGACTGTATTTAACGACGCAAATTCTGATTACAAAAAAATCTACTTTAAAATATTTTGGCGTACGATAAATACGGTATCAAAGCACGTAAACGGAACGTAATCTTTAGATAGTTTGGCGCCATCCGTAAGAGATTTTAAAACTCTTACTTTTTTACCAAAATACGTGATTTACCTGAGTGTTAACGCCATCGAGTTTCATATTGACTTCGGGCACAACATAACGCCCGTATTGGTCGATGAGGCATTGGGCTCGGTTGTGGAACGCCTCGATGGCTGGATCGGACCACCAACGGTGCAAGTTGCCCTCACAATCGAACAGGCGCCCCTTATCGTCAAATCCATGGGTAATTTCATGACCTAAGAATAATATATTATGCTATTCTCATCTTAGATTTAGAGGCTAATATGTCTTTAAAATATACTAATGTAACCTTTCAAGACTACTATGAATGGCTTTGAGTCCAGTACCTGTCTCTCCCCTCTTAATTAAGCAGTGGATTAAATTGTAGAGTTGTAAAAGGATAGAATCGAAGTAACAAAGGGCGGGGTACGACTTTCCATTGACGTCCGTCGAGTTGTCAACCCAGAATGTGGTGAGAGTTTATGGTAGAGAAAGTTTAAGATGCAAGAGTAGTAAAATTTGAATAATGAGAATAAATATATAAATCAAAAATAAGAAATAAGTAAAAAGCATTTATTATATTGGATATAGGTAAATATAGAATAATATATATCTAAGATATACTAATATATTTAAGTATATATAAAGATGTATACTTATACAAACTAAACAACAATTTGCTTGTAAGAACAATTATTGTCAATATTTTGGTCAAGGTTGTCTTTAGCAAGTGTTCACAGATCAGTCTTTTTTTATGTGAAAAGTTGCCGATGCCGATCAGACGGTTCACCTGATGTTAAGTGAATACCGCCGCCCATGAACATCTGCTACACTCGGAGAGTTCCAGATATGTTAACAACCTTTTGAAAATTGGGCTCCGGCCATCTCACTCACCAGACGAAACGCAAAAGTATTATGCTTCCACTTTATGCCGGTCTTCTGTGAAGTCGTGGTACTTACCCGGACGAGCCTGCCCATTCGTGCAACAGCCGAGGCTGCTGCGTGGCCTTAACACCGGTAAGTCTTAAGTCTTTTGAAAGATGTAAGTAAGTTGTTTCAAGACGTGTAATTCAAATTTAAATTCAAATTTAATTCAAAATATCCGAATACAAATAGACGCTTTCGCGTTCTTATGAAACGTCAAATGTCACATAATTGCAGGTATGTATTTCATATAATCTAAAATTAACTCCCCTTACCAATTACAACACCAATGCCGCCATAGTTCAATGAGCGCGGAAAATGACGGTGGTAGAATGGGGGCTGCAAAATACCGGCCGGGAACATGATTTGGTTTTTATTCCGGCTGTAATATGCGTTGACCACCGCTGGTGCCGTGTTCCAAAGTGACTTATTCACTGGCTGTCCGATTCTGAAATTATAAAAATATTATTAACATTACATTTCCTTCATTCATTTACATCTATGGTAGTATTAAAATTTGTAGAAAAAAGTACGAAAAGTCTTTCGCTGCTGTGCAATTGTACGTATTTATATAATATGCTGCGATGTCACTATGCCAATGTGGCCGATAAATAGAGTTACCAACGTTATTCGTTGTTAGTATGTATATAATATATTATTATACAATATATCAATATTTATTTTATACTAGCGGATCAAACAGACGTTGTCCTGTACGCACGTCTTAAATTAGAAAATTTCAAACTTTTTGAATAACTTTGTGAATCTAAACCATTCTCGAATCCATCTGAACACACAAAATATTTCATTAAAATCAAGGTTTAGGAGGAGTTCAGTGACATGCACATGTACGGAAGAATTATATATATAAAGATAGTGTTTATATAGGTATAGGAATATACATATAGGTTTTTAATAATTTAAAGTATTCATGTTTGCGTTCAGTATATTTCTATAAACCGTACGATTTATTTGCTTTTTCTTTATAAAAGTTATGTTTTGCACCTACGTCAAAATTTTTACTACTCCCAGGGTGGAATCAGCATTAAGTTTGCCTTTTCTTTGGCCTTATGTTGTGGTGTAAACAATACATTTTTAATTAAATGAATATATATACCATACACTCAAATGTAATGATATCTAATGTTACTTTCATTTACATTCTATTTTATTTAAATAACAATGTATTACAATTAAATGCTGACACAATATTTTATACGCCTTGTATAAATAAGTTTGCAAGACCTAACACGATTATAAGATACGATAATTAGTATTAAATGCTACCACTTTTTAAAATGGAGTCAACAAACTTTAGATGCATCTTTTTGTTACATTCATTAACTAAAATTATTGGTACAAGTCTCAACTATATTTCTATGAAAACAAGATTACTTACCGTGACTGTTCCATTTTTGTCAGATGCTGTAATATATTCAAAATGTTTTCGAAATATTTGTCCGGATGAATTTTCACTTCCTTGTATCTATCATCCAATTCTTTCTTATTAAGAATAAAGTCAGGATATCCGATCCTTAACATCATCGAGTCTACTTTGTGACGAGCCAGTTTTTTAGTTGCATCGTCTATCCAGTGAGTCGTGCGCAAAATCTCCCTGAATGATTGCTGAATCTCTCTGGTCATTTTGAGAGTATCATTTTTGCTCATCTCGTCAAAATACTTCCGAACGAACATTGAACCTAATGCCATGCCCATATTCGAATTCACCTGAGATATGCAATTCTTCCATCTCGGTGGTGCTTCTTCGCGTCCGAAAAGAACATAATAGAACCTTAAAATGCCCACAGTAAACAATTAATAGAATAGACTTGTTGATAAACGAGAGTACATTGTGAATTATAAATAAACATTAAAAAAATTACATTTTTCCGCATATATACATTTTCACTGTATTATTATTATAATAATTTTTAAACTTTATACACAAAAAATTATTTGTACAAAGGCGGGCTTCATAATACCAAAGTGATTTTCTGCCAGACAAATAAACGGATGATTCAGAGAAGTTCAGTTAGGTGCAGAAATAAAATAAAATAATATACAACAAGAGAAAGAATTATTTTGTTCTTCACGTAGCTCTCTTCAATAACATAAAAGGGTTGCTACGAATACCTATTGCCGTCGGATATACAACGTAGTAGATGAATGATCAAATTTTTACATTAAAAAACGGAAATATAATAATGGAAATAATTCATTGGTTTAACTCATTATACATATTTAAAAATATCTTTCCGACACTTACTGCTGTTTTGCTGATTGAAAACGGTCATCGAGGTTGTTAACCCTGTGTCTAACAAATCGCCACAAGAGATAATTTGCCAAAGTGTCTGCTTCCGTTTTATTTATTAATTTCACGAGATGCTGCAAACAGCATTATAAAAATAAAAGTATAGTAGAAGTTGAGCATTCTGTACATGATCTCAAATATCTAAAGATGGAATACCAACCGAGACGTAGTTATGTGCAAAAAGGACAATCGTCTCGTTTTCATTGATCGTTTTATTCATTACAATACACAAGTACTGTATCCAGTCGACCTCAGGTATGAGATCTATCAGTTTCCAAATTGGCATCCTTTGATAGATTTCGGATACATTACGTCTATCCTCTGGGGCCGATGTAATTTTAGCAAGACTAGAGGGAATATGTTATTTGATATTTATAGGATATATTAAATAGGATTTAGAAATAAACAAAATTCATACGCACTTATAGTAAAGCAAGTTTAAAATTTATAAATAAACTTATAAATAAACTTTTTTAATATATATATAGTTTTGTGTTCTTAGATGTATAAAACATCTATTGATATCACTGACCTCAATTATTGTAAAGATTTCTAGCGACAGAGAAGGAAAAGGTTCATAATACGAGATTGCAAAAGTAAATATTTTACGTAGTTATTACTTACTTTATTTCAAAATCAATTAATTTATCAGCACATTTTTTCACATGATCAATTTTTCCGCCTAAGAGTAGTGCGATTGTCGTCAAATAAGTTTTATAAGCGTCTAAATAAACTTTATTAGACTCTTGTAAAAAGTAGTCTCTCGTTGGCAATCCTATATGAAGTGAAAGTTTGAAATTATTATGTGATTATAATTGAGTTTAAACATTATTTCCGGTTTTAGTCTCTCTTTACCTAAACTTGTTTGATCGAACTGAATGACGAACTCATCCGAATTTTTTATATCAGGTCCAACCCATTCAGATATTAAAATGTCATTGTTATAAACTCGCAATTTTGCCATAAGTTCTAACCAATTGAATTTGCTGTCATTCCAATCTGGATTTAATATAGGCCAACCACCCAGTAAGTCGAGCAAATCCAATAAAGGCTGATGGCCACGTTTTTCTAGAATTTGATAATTCATACAGGAAGTAAACAAATATCGGGACTTAAGAGCAGCGTCCCCATTCGCTGGATCATCATTTTGGGGTGCAAATGGGGTTGGTCGCATTTTCTTAGCCTGTTTCTCATGTCCGTGTTTCTTTTTCACCCTCGTATAGTACATTTGTAATTTCCTGCCCACACGACTATGCGCATCATATTGATATTTTGAACGCTTTCTTATGTTTGATATACTTTTATATCGTTTACTCGCCATTGATTTCCCGTTATATATATCCCTTCTTGGTTTATCATTTTTACGTAAATAACCTTGAAAACTATTTTTCATTTTACAAACTGGTTTTAGTATTTGTTTAGACTTTTTATCTAAATATCGACGTATACGACTGATGATTTCGGCACTTTCTTGTGGGTAATCATTTGGAATTAATATATCATCTTTAGTCTGATTTAAAGCTTTAACATCGAATTCTTTGAATAATTTATTCTTCTTTGATTTGTGATTATATTGTAAATCCTTTGGACATTTAAGGATATAGTCTTCTGTCAAAAAATTGTCACTTATGTCCAAATGTTGCCCGGGGTATACACTTTCAACTTTTTCAAAACTTTTAAATTCTAATAAATCTTTAAGCACTGCATCCAAATTTTCTCTAAGCATCTCAAACGTATCATACCTGCGAATAAAATATACATAATGATATACAAAGATATTATAAATTTTTTATTGATGAACGTAAAGTACAAATATGAGTGAGAAATAGGTAACGTTAAAACCCCTAAACTGATAAGTAATAGTGAAACATTCTAGCTTCGATTACTCATTTTTTTAACGAATCAAATACGAGAACTTTGTTTTAGCACTTACCCCGCTTTGTCGGGAGGTATAGGATTAAGTGCAGCCCAATTGCCGCAAGCATATTGATAGAAATCATGACAAGGATCGGCTTCTGCATCCATATACTGTTTCATAATATTAGCCTGTGTCTTTCTGATAGTTATTCGATCTCCTTCACCTTTCCAAAAGGCATGAATACCTATTTTTTTTTAAATCAATAACGAATTTAATAAAGGAATAAATTGCATTAAACAACTTTGAAGATGAAGTGTAAAGAATTTGGTGTCTATACAATTTTAAAGAAATAGACTGGATCGATTACATCTGTTAAACGTTCCTCATATTATGAGGAACGTTTAACAGTTGTAATCGATCCAGTCTATGTATAACGTAAAAGCTTAATATTGTTTTTAAAAAGACAAAATATTTCCTAAATGAAAATGTTTTTATAATATTTAAGGTAAGTATGAAACTACTCAAAATTTGTCTTCAATTGGATTAAATATTTTTTTTTAGATCAACTAAAATTATCGAATATAAATCATTGGCAAATCTGTGTTACTAAAAGCAATGAAAATGCGATACCCGTATGGAAATTTGAAGGCTTGTATAAATGTGCAGAAGAACCCATTTCACCTTCTTCTAATTCTGGCTGCCTTCGCACTTGTTCTACAACATCATCCAACGGCCCTCGGTCTACATAAATCTCTTGGTAAATAGTTCTGGTTATATAAATCTACAGTTAATACTAAAATCTATTTGTTAACATATACATTAAATATAACTTCAAAAATTTTTACTTTTTATTAAAGTCATTCTTGATAGTCTCCGCAGTTTCATGACTAGCCTCAGATGTATAATTTTCTATAGATAAATCATAATATTCATCATCAACGTTTCCACCGGTATCTTCTCTGGTAACAATATAAGATAACATTTGTACAGATTTCGTAGGTCACATCAAAATTCATGCTAGTAGTTCAATATTTGTTACTCACGCGAAAAAGTCCGTGGAAGAATATGGAAGATGACTTTTACGCTTAGTTCGAGTTGGTGTTTCTAATTTCTCATCCGTGTTTTCCCAAATAAACGAGTCTCCGATCTTTTTTTCATCATACAGTGCCCTTTTCCATTTTCTCTGCGCGAGCAAGATTTCTTCGGCTGGCAAAAAAGAGGTTCTAAAACCTTCAAACACATCCCTTTCCTCAGGGTCAATACCTTCAAGTTTCGTATATGTTGCAGGTATGTTCTTTACCAAAAACTGATCTGACGGATCATCTAAAGAATCAACAGGCCTCTTTAGAATTATACATACGAGCATTAAAAAAGCAACGAAAGACAGAAAATAAAGAAATCGACAAATATCCACACTTTTTGGCCTTACGGATACCTGATAATGGTTCCGCGTGTCAGTTCGCGTCATGGCAGTAGCCTACTGACAACATAACGTCATCGGGAGGTTCGTAACTAGAACGTCAGCCAGTACAACACATACAGCGGTGATATACGCTAACAAAATAATTGCCATTGTATATTTGACCCTGGAGTCGAATTGAAAAGAGCTGCTAGCACTTTGAATGAGAAATGTCTTGCCGATTTGAAGTCACGTTGTCTATTCACTTTCCTAGGGCGTAGCCGTTGGATGGTGCAATCAAAATTTTGTTTAAAAATGTTTTTGTTGTTTTACATTATCAAATAACTGAAATATAAGGGAAAGGTACAGGTTCAATCCCGATATCGTATATAGATATCGACATTTTAGTTGTTACGAGATACTTTTGGATTTTCAATAACACTGTAAAGTATTCGCCTTCTTACGAAAATGGAACTGTGTTACAGAATAGAACAGTATTTAAATGCATTTCTTATGGTTTTGATTTTAGTAAGTTATTCTTAGATTTCCCAAGTCATAGTATATCGTGTTAAGATCTAACTTCTAATTTATAAATAAAATAATAAAATAAATAATTAAAAATGATGTATTTTTTCCTTACATGAAATTTGGATAGCAACAGAATGAATTTAAAAAATGCTGGTAACAATAAACCTTTTTTCGAGTAAATAGTTTGCTTAGAACGAGCTGCAAAAGTAAAATAAACTGCTATGTATGTGACATAACATATTATAACATGTAAACGTAGTGATTACATTCTCTTTGGTAGGACATAATATGTTTGTGTGACAACATTGTGTTATTGCTCAATACTTACCCAAGATCTTTAATTGATCGCCAACTGCCTTAGAAGAAGAAGAAGAAGATCTTTAGTTTGGTTTTATTAGGTTCAATAAATATAATATGGCATTTTCAGAAGTAATAAAAACAATAAATGCAATTAATGAGTCAATTTTGGAGGGTATGACTGATGGTAAGGGTACACGAAGGGTTCATTGTCTTTTCATTAATATTTAATAGTTTTTGGCAAATTATTTTTTTAGGAAAACATATTTATTTTTCATATAAATGCAATATATTCCACTCTATTGTTTTAGAACATAATGAGAGTAACGAAGAGTTCCACAATCATTTGCAAGCAACGAAAAGTTGGTACTCAAGAATTTCGTGTGTAAATAAGAAGTTATACATATTGGCTCTTTTGGAAGACGTTCGTAGTGCGTGGACTCTATCATTGCTGTTGAAATCTGTATGGAATTGTCGTCCAAAAGATGCTGTCCTTTCGATAAGCGGGTATATAGTGGCAGACACAGTACTTATATTAATTAAATTATCATTTGTTATATAATTATATACTATTATTTACATATTTCCAGTATAACCTTCAAAATGATCTGATTTTAATAAAATTGACGTGTTTGTCGTAAAATTAGCCGTGTTAGTGCGGAGGTGTCTTAGAATCTTAAAAAAAGTCGTGTCAAAAATATTGCTTACAAATAGCTCGAATCTGAATATTTATTCAGTAAACGTAAGTTTGGCTCGATTTCGCTAAACTTCCGTTAAGGTTCTTTAAACTGCTGATTATAAGGTACATGTTTTTTTTAATAGACCTATTGTGCTGAGCGGTTACGACCAATCTCCGCTGGACAACAACAGAACCGCTGTACCTGTTACGATTCTCACACAGGTTATGAATGACGATAGGCAATGGTTCGTCTCTTTACAGCCAGTAAGTATATAGGGTTCTAGATTCGGATTATTGTTTTGAAACGTTTAAATTGTAGAAATTAATTATTTAAATAGTAAAATCACGGTTAAATTTGACTTTACTTCTGACTGCTGCTCGTAGTAGTACTCCCTGTAATCCTTCATTCTTTCATGTATTAATATGTGTGTTTCGGAGGGTAACAAAAGCGCGCCATGTAACGATTATTTGTTTTTTTATGGCGAAAAGGGGCAAACGAGCGGGAGGCTTACCTGATGGTAAGTGATTACCGCCGCCCATGAACACCTGCAACACCCAAGGGCATCCAAATGCGTTGTCAGCCTTTTAAGAAAGAGTAACTCTCTTATTGAAGGTTCCCAGGTAGTAACGGTTGATCAGTTTAATATACTATAAAACTATTATTCCTTCCCAATCTCTCTTAAGCGAAGATTATAACATAAAGGACGATTAGCGGCATATGTCGTGTAACTTCTACCGTTCTGTAATACCTATGAGACCCATTCAATTATATACGATTACGTGCCATACAGATGAGAAAGGTTGCAATCAAGTCGTTGACCGTGAACGGGGGCTTATAATATTAATTGATGCGCAAGTAAAGTAAGGTATTTAATTGTCTCTACCCGAAGCCAATTACTACAAGAGAAGAGTTGAAAATGCATGGTCTGTCTGGCAGGAGTATCAAGCGATAGTTTTATTGGAGCTGCTAGCAACAGCCGGCGGGCCCGTACTGTGGCAGGTTCTGAAGCGAGCGCAAAAGATCTACGATCGGTATCGCGAACACGAGATCGACAATCTCAAGGAGTCCATGGTTGTAGTCCAGACTCCCAGTGACTCAAAAACGAACGCGAAGACGACACAACCGGTCGAGCAAGTGATTGCGGTGAGGTTTGACTTCTTGCCCATTACATGCTTTAAATTCTTGGTCTAATAATATACCGATAAAACCAATTATTCTTCATAGTTATAGAATTACATAGTAAAAAATCTTTGGTGATTTGGTTCCATTCTTTCGACGTTTTCCATATCTTAATTTATGTTCTCAATCAATGAAACATCGAGATTTGTAATTAAACAAGGAAAAAAGGAGAGGAAATAGAAATAGTTGTAGAGTAAGTAGAAACAAGAAATAGAAATAGTGCAAGCTCTAGGAAACATAAATTAAAATCCCTAAAACAGTTTCATTTAAATATAAATATATGTAATGATGTTGCTGAATTCAGTGGTAATCACCAGGCCAGTGGTATAATGGGCACAATCAATAATGTTCTTTATAGTTTATTGTTCTATAAAGTTCCAATTTACATTAAAATTTATAATATTTATAAGTAAAAATATAAAAATAGAAATGTATTTTGCAGAGAAAGGAAACGTTGCGGAATAAAGCGGGTGAGTCTGGCATTTTCAAGCAGACGCATGCAAATAGCCAAGCGCAAAAGCGGGTATTGTGTTTAATTTTTCATTTTTATTATGATTTTTTATTATTATTGAAACTTATACAAGTTTATAAAATACAAATGGGTTGATGGATCAGTTTTTGCAAAAGGAAGAAATCGACTTTTCCTTTTGCAAAAAACTAATCCATTCCTCCATCTCTTCCATCACGCATCATATCACAAAAGTACTAAAAGTATCTCTGTCTCAAGTCTCTCTGTTGTTTGCCGTTGTTTGTGCACATTTAACTCTACTGATCAGATTTAAATATTGCGATGACGTCACCAACTTAATATTTTCGGTAAAGAAATATAAAATTATTTGGAGTAGAAGTGCATTTCATGAAGTGGAAGTATTGTAAGAAGACACTTTTGCTCTCCGTTTGCATTGTGAGGTAAGCAAAGCCCACTTTTAAAAATGGGCAAACGTCTGCAAGTTTGGTTGTGGTAACCGCCACGGGCGGCAGTTATCACTTAACATCAGGTGGATTATCTGCGCTCTTGCCACCTTCTCAAGTGAAAAACAAGTCTTCGCGATGATGACGCGGTGTCGTTAGCACCTAAAATGTTAAGACAGTGTAAATTATAGCTTTATTAACTGCTACTATTTTTCATATTTAAATTTAACAGTATTTTACACGGAGATGGAACCCGATAAATACTGTTATTTAATAGATTTTACTCTTTATACTGCTTCTCCGCAAATCCTTTTACGAGATAGCACACGCTAACCTCGTTCGCTGGCGTAAAGCGTGATGAATAACACTCTTTGCGTTTGTGGAATCCGTAATCGTTCAAGTAGGACGTTTTGACGTATGTTAGTTAATACCACAGGTTTGGGTTATACCAAAAACTACATCTACGATATACCAGTTAGATAAATATATTTTCAAGAAAACTAACCGTTTTGTACGAATGATTGACTTGTTCATACTAAATGTATTTGACATTACCCTTGTAGACGAGAATTAAGAACAAGGCGAAGTTGGAAAAGTAAAACAATATGTTCGTAAAATTAAAATTTTGTGAAATTAACAGTAACTCGTCGTATGTAAAAGCATGTTCTAATGAGCCATTCGTCTGAATTCAAATTTTTACTATGCCATCTATTCATTTTCTGCGCCTTAGGTATTCGAAATTAATTTTATTTCTATGATTGCATTGTTCTTCTTACATTGCTTCTTAGTCGAAGTTTTTATGTATTCCATTTTTAAAACGTAATTCCTATTGCTATCCAGAGTTGTAGGGATGGCTTGAACAATTTTAGGCAGATGAATGCCCAGAACTGGAATAACTAGATGTGGATCGTATTATCACTTTACATGTTAAATACTTAGTGTCCTAGTTGTGCTTTACAATATTTTCCTTTTCCGGGTCGTATATAAATAATCAACTGAATATAAAATTACGTGCATTTATACCTTTAGTTAATAAACTGTACCATGAAAATAAAGGCAGTCGTTCAGATAGTAAGTCGGCGCAGCTCGACATGCATAGGTAATGCGTCTTACGTATGCATTTTAAAGAATTCCTTAAGAGTCTTACACCATACAGTGCGTCAGAAAACACGCCACAAATGCTATTTTCGATTTAAACAGAAATAGTACGTCACTAATGTGGCGAGTTACTCAATAGCAGAGGAATAGTAAATTCTTATAGCTACATGGAATGGACACTACACAAAATCATGACTTCAAAAAGGTTGAATACAGTTTATGTAACTAAAACAATAACATGATTTTGACGATGGTATTACGAAAAGATAATATTTTATTTCTTCTTTACGCAAAGATTTCACGCTTGTACCTAGGTACACTTTCAATTAATGTCGTTTTACCTATTTTTTCCCCATTTATTATAACCACAGTACCATGTGCAGCATTCCTTGGATGATTATCTCATAATTTACAAGGCTAACTTTCATTAAAATTTACAAAAATATACAAGCTGCTTATTAGGGTAACGTACCCAATGGGTAAAACGGGGCCCTATTACTAAAACTGTCTGTCTGTCTGTCCGTCTGTTAAAATAAAAAATATTTATGTGGGGCTCCCATACAACAGACATAATTTTTCTGCCATTGTTATAGATAATGGAAATTTGTAATTTGCTTGGTATATTTATATGTATTTTTTTTTGGTGTACAGTGAAGTATAAATAAATAAAGGTACGAAACACTTCGTACGCGAGTCCGACTCGCACTTGGCTGGTTTCTGTGTTTGTATTCTTCTTTATCCTTATCAGTCGTACTCACCTACCGTCAGGGGGTACTCATCCCAACTGGCCTGTCCGGCAGTTGTGGTATGGTATGCGGGTACGCGACCCCGGCTCCCCGAGCTGCTGCTGTCTCATCCGCATCCATCCGAGACAGTAGTATCCCTACCTTTATCCTCTCCAAAGATCCAAACCGTTCCTCCCCCAATTTCTTTACAGCGGCTCCCTCCCGCTCAACACACAAAGTCTATTTCGGTGGGGAAGGCAACTCACAGCAGATATGCAATGAGATTGGCGGATCCGGCGCGATAGCAAGGCCTGGTGGACGGCCTAGGGCGATGGTAGAGGGCGTAAAGTTACCATCGGTCAGACACATCATCGGAACCCTTCTCCGGTCGTATCGGTCTCTCCGTTCCACTGGATCAAGAAGGGGGAAGACGAGTGTGTGCACCTGCGTTTGCGCGCACGTTTGTGCACCTAAATATCTCCTGCGCACTTGACTGCTTCAGAAATAAGGACTCCGAGCTTCATAAAGCCCCGTGGCGATAGGTCGAGGTAGAGAGGTTCGGTTTGATGCAGACCGGGCTTTGTCTGAGACCTGCACACGGGCGGCTCCAGGGGTGTTCCTAGAACATCGTGGTCGCTTTCCTTCTGACTTGAGGAGACAGAAGGGGTTCGGCAGCACCTGGAGTGACAGAGCAGCCCTATTCAGGGAAGCACTGCTTTCCCTGCTCAGCCTGGGAGGAGGCTAGAAAAGGTGCCCTAAAAATTGCTCTCCCCACCACTTGAGAATGGTAGCAACCGCGGCTGCCTTCGCATCGATAAATTCGCGGTCGACGTCGCAAAAGTAATAACCATAATAACAAAACATCAGATATGACTTTTGGCGCGTGGAACGTGCGTACACTCCTTGATCGCGATGAAAATATCTGTCCAGAACGGAAAACCGCCATTGTTGCCCGAGAACTTCTTCGCTACGATGTAGATGTGGCTGCCCTCAGCGAGACACATTTAGCGGAAGAAGGAGAACTGGTGGAACACGGTGGTGGGTACACTTTCTTTTGGAAAGGACTTGCTACCTCAGAACCGCGACGGTCAGGTGTTGGATTTGCGATCAAGAATAGGCTTGTCAAACATCTCCAAGAGTGTCCATTCACATCTCGGATCGCGTTACCACACTGCGCCTACATCTTGACAATAACAACTATCTTAATGTGATCAGCGTTTATGCGCCTACCCTAAACAAGTCTGATGACATTAAAGATCAATTCTATGAGGAGCTTGAAAAATGCATCGAAAGCGTAAGGCCTAGAGAGCAGATTCTTCTGTTAGGCGATTTCAATGCCAGAGTTGGACGGGACTACGAGGCATGGCTCAAGGTCAATGGACATCTGCTACTTAGTCTTTGCGCACAATTCCAACTTGCCATCACGAGTACCATGTTCCGACTCCCCGCTAAATATAAGAACACCTGGATGCACCCAAGGTCCAAACACTGGCATCTAATTGATTACGCTATCGTACGGCAGCGAGACGTTTCCCAGGTCCTAGTTACCCGTGCAATGCGTGGTGCCCACTGCTGGACTGATCACAGGCTTGTTATTACCAAACTGCGTCTCCGACTCCAACGTCCCCGTCGATCTAGAAAACCTAAGCCTAATGTGAGTTTTAACATGGATGGGCTAAAAGATCCTGTGACGAGGGAGAAGTATGCTCGCACTTTGGCCACTGGATTACCATTTGTCAACAAAGATGCTGGCCGAGTCGACTGCGACTGGGGTACTTTGTCTTCTCATATTCTCGACACCGCTGCAATTACTTTGGGTCAAAAAGTCCGAAAGACCGAAGACTGGTTCGATGAGAATGACATGGTCCTGACAGGGGCAGTCGATAAACACCGACGTCTTCTATGGCAACACCGCAGAGCAAACCAAAGTGTGAGCGCTACGGAGATCAGACAAAGTGATCTGGAGCTTAGGCGGCTATGTCGGGAAACAAAGGATAAATGGTGGCGGGAGAAGGCTCATCACATTCAGTGGCTCGCTGACACTAACCAGCTTGGAGAGTTTTATGGCGAGGTTCGTAAGTTAATCAGTACAACTTCTTTTGCAAAACTACCCATTAAGCCTGCTAGTGGCGAAGGTCTTCTGAAAAGCAAAGAGGAAGTACTCAAACGTTGGGCGGAACACTTCAGCATTCTGCTGAATGTGGACCGGGCTGCAGACCTGGAACACATTCGTTCGATACCTCAACTCCCGATTTGTACTGAGCTGGATGAGTCACTATCGTGTGAGGAGATTGCTCTCGCCATCAATCAGCAGCAAAATAAGCGCGCGGTGGGTATCGACTTTATACCAGGAGAACTGCTTAAATACGGTGGTGATGAATTGCAATTGGCTATTTGGGAGCACTTTGATCGTATGTGGAAAGAAGAACAAGTCCCATCTACTTTTAAAGTATCACGCATAAGGGCCCTATATAAGAACAAAGGTGACCGATCCGATTGCGATTCGTACCGCGGTATTTCACTTCTGTCAGTCCCCGGAAAAGTTTTTGCCCGTGTATTACTTAACCGCCTGATGAGGCTTTCTGAACACCTTTTGCCCGAGACCCAGTTTGGCTTCCGTCCTGACCGAGGACATGTGAGGCCATTTTCTCTGTACGTCTACTGCAGGAGAAAAGCAGAGAGCAAGGTCGTCACTTATATCTCTGCTTCGTTGATCTTGAGAAGGCCTTTGACAGTGTGCCTCGAGAAGCCCTCTGGATGGTACTTGCGAAGATCGGGTGTACAGAGAAGTTTGTAAGGCTTCTAAGACTCCTGCACGACGGCATGGAGTGCTGTGTCGCTGTCAACGATGAACAGTCTGAGTTTTTCCCCGTTACCTGTGGGGTAAAACAGGGATGCGTCCTGGCACCAACACTATTCGCGTTGTACTTTGCAGTTGTAGTTCGAGAAGTCTTGCAATCAACCTCTGAAGGCGTCCGCATCCGTTTCCGTACGGACGGCGGTATATTTAATCTTGCGAGACTGAAGGCTCGCACCAAAGTTTCGCATGCTATGATCACCGAAATAATGTACGCCGATGACCTATGCTTTGTAACAGAATCCCCAGACGGCCTGCAGCAGCTAATGTCCGAGTTCAACGAGTCGTGCCAAAAATTCGGCTTAAGAATCAGCGTCAAAAAGACGGAAGTGATGTCTTTAGATATACAAGGTCACGAGGCACTGACAATAAAACTCGGTGAGGACAAGCTGAATCAGGTCGACAAGTTCCGTTATCTGGGGAGCACACTATCATCGAAATGTGATCTAGACGCGGAAATCAACAGCAGGATTGGCGCTGCTGCTGCATCGTTCGGCAAATTGTATGCGAAGGTCTTCGGCTCCCATGACCTAAAGCTGGCGACTAAGATCTCCGTCTACGTGCCTGTTGTGCTGCCCAATATTCTTTATTCTGCCGAAACATGGACCGTCTACCGCCGTCACATCCATACGCTCGACCGATTCCACCTTAAATGCCTGCGTAAAATACTAAACATTCGATGGTCTGATCGTGTACGGAACACCGAAGTGCTGCGAAGAGCCAATGTAGGTGGCATTGAGGCTTACCTTATGCGACGTCAACTTCGGTGGGGCGGACACGTTTCGCGTATGGCGGAGCAAAGAGTTGCTAAGCGCATCTTTTACTCGGGACTTGAGGAAGGCAAGCGTAAGCATGGCGGTCAGCTTCTCAGGTACAGAGATGTGCTTAAGCGGCATATGAAGAGGTGCAGCATCGA